TGGTACTGGGGTGAGGTGAGAAGGGGAGGGAAAGGAAATCAAGCCTAAGACTATTTCTCTAACTATTGAAGAGTGGCTTTTCATCCCTTTTCTTGGAGGTTTCATTAAAATGTGTGAATGCCTTTTTTCCAAAGAGTTTTTAAGTGTCTTTTTGTACTAACAGTACAGCAGACATCATGGTCCTATGGGGAGCACCATAGAAGGTGTGGCTGCAGGTGCCTAGGAAAACAAATCCATGGAATATGTCTCTTTGTCAACACCTAAATCTTTTGTCAGGTACAAGTTGGTCTCTTCTAGAGGAGCACTTGGGAGGTCTGGCAAGGCCATGAAGGCTTGGAACTTCCCATTGCCAGGTCTCTATTCCTCCAGACTGCTCAGCTCCTTCTCTGTCTGTGCCCAACAGTCCCCACAGATATAAAAGGGCAGTTTACATCCTCTGCCTTTTAAAAGCACTGTGCAATTCATTGGCTGTTATTTTCCAGCATGTGGAGGGACAAGGAGGAGAACCAAGACAGGGCTAAGCCAAGGATGGCCAAGGATAGCACTGGCCTTGGGGAGTACCACTGAGACTCCCCTGCATCAGCAGTATTCAGGCCTGTTTACCCAGCCTGCCCTCATCACAAATCTTGTATTTCCAAATGAATATTTTAACGGAAGGGAATTGTGTAGATTGTTAGTGTAGCTTATTAGGTTTTAAAAATTCATGTTTCTAAATTCCCAGTATTATTTTCCCCTTGCTTTAAATAAAAAAAAAAGAAAAAAAGAAAAAAAGAAAAGCGGGGAGGGAGGAATCTCTTTACAATAAGAGTTTAATTGTCTGTTTTATCTGGAAAGCCCTCTGAATTGAAACTCCCTTCTCCACAGTGCTACCTGAGCACTTCACAATTTTATTCTCTTGAAGTGTCTATTTTACCATTTGTCTCACTTTCAAGCTTTTAGCTAGAACTGGACATTTGTGGCCAGACAAAGGAATTTAAACTAAGTAGCGTGTTATGGACGACTTCAGGTGACTCTGCTTGGATTCTGTCACTCTGACACTACAGCAGCTAAAGCAAAGGGCATTAACACGAGTCTATTGAATGTAGACCTGCAACTGAGATGAGAGAATTTCACTGCATTTCCCATTGCGTCTTTCTAATGACCTTACCCCTGTGTTTGGGAGATGTCTGAACTAAGGGAATTATTTTATCTTTTTTTGGCTTTTTTTTTAAGTTCCTAGAGAAAGATGTTTATGTATCAGGAAATGATACGTTTAACCTGCAGGGTCTCAGGATATGGGAATTTGGTCTTCTGCCTCATTTCATTATCAGCTTGGAGCTTAAGCTTGAAAATGGAGTAGACTTAGTGATATTTGTTATGTGGCAGATGGGGCTGCCTTGTAATATGTGGTGAGGACAGACACCTGAATCGGGCAGGTTTTGCAGGAGGGGACAATAATGAATATGAGGGGGTAATTCAGTTAAATGACAGCTAATTCCTCACCAAAAACTCGAAGAGCCACTGGACTGGAGGTGCTGTAGGACTGTGAAGCAGTAGCTGCCCCAGAAGCACCTTGTTGTGCTGGCAGACAGGAGTACCAGCACTAGGAGGGAATTTGGGACATAAAAGCCCTCTGCTGTTACTGTCAGTACTCAGGTACGTTGCTGGAATGCCCCTTCCAGTGCTGCTTAGAACCAGTCCAGAAGGCATAAAATATGCTAAGCAGCTGTTAAAGGGGAAAAAATAACATGTGGCAGAGGATATGCATAAAAATATATAGAAGACACTTCTGATGGGAATGTGAAATGTGCCATTTTTCTGTTTGTGGTGCTGTCGAGCGCTGTAGCTGTGCTGGTGGCAGGGCTGCAATAGGGTTGTTTTTCTATTAAGGGCAAACCAAATGAGGGTAAAATTTTAAGTTGAGGAATTTTCTGCTGCTGGAAGGCAAATTACTACACGCACTACTACAAAAGAGCAGGGGTAAACAATACAATATGCTGGGAATTGCAGATGCGTGTGCAGGAACGCCGTGAATACATTAACTGCCCGTGTTGTCAAGGCAAGTGACAGCAGCTGACTGAAATCCAGAAAGGGGCTCCTGTCAGCACAGCCCTCGCCAGGGCAAAGGCACATCGCTCCTAATAACAAAGTCTATTCCGTTTACATCTGACACTGGGAGCCAGAGCCTCTTGTTTGGGGAGTTTTATTTATTTTGACCCAGGGAAGTCCGCTGAGCTGCTCCGTCAGGCTCCAGCCTCCTGCCACGGCAGTTAGACAAACTCATCCACGCTGCTTCGTCAGGAGGACTGAGTTTTCTGCACCCCTCTTTCCTTTCAGTACATTTTTTCCCTCTTGCTGGACTTTACTGTAGGAAGGACAAAAAGAAAAGCACAGGAGTAAATAAGGAAAGCACTTCTTGGATGCTCCAACCATTCGTGAAGTTATTCCATGAGGGGCAGCGAACCATGGAAGTCTGTAGTATTTTTTTGCCTACAATCTGCACCAATCTGTGCAGAAAAGGGACTGCACAGCCCCAAGTTTCTCTTTCCTTCTGCTTTCCTTCTTTCCTTCTCTTTTCCCCAGGAAAACCCTTCAAAGGCCAAACCAGTAGATTTAGTCCATGTCCCAGTTTGATTAAGGTAGGTCTGTAGGTGACTTACCCTGGGCTGAGCATATCCAAGGCAGGAAGGTAAACATCCCATTGTGCTGGATTTGATGAAAGAAAATCCTGGAAAACGTTGTGCTTTTCTAAGAAAACTGCCAGAGGCAGATTATTAGGTCTGAATTAAAATGCAGACGAGATTCATTAAATTGTTGACCCTGCCCCCTCCAAAAAAAAAGTCAGGTTGCCATCTTAAATTGACAGCATTAGAGACAAATTATGTGCACTGATTAATAAGTGTGGGCTAAATTACGGCTCGGAGAGCGGGCGGAGCGCTGTGGGAGCGGGAGCGAGGGAAGGAGCGGAGGAGGCGACAGCCATCCTGCCTGTGGGCACAGAGCAGTGCCAAGGGGTGGGGGGCCCTGTGGCACCAGAGGTGCAGAGGGGGACAAAGGAGCAGGAGGAAGTAGCTGAGCCTCCTCCAAGGAACCTGTTCCCTCTGTGATGGTGACCTGGTGCCCTGGTGCCAACGTGCTCCCTGGGACATCAGCGCTGGGGATGTGTGCTGAGCTCAGGGACTGTGCTGCCCCTTTTCTTTGGGGTAGGGGGAGCTTTTCATTAAAAAAACAAGGGAAAACCCCACCCAAATCTTGGAAGAGTTGGATTTAAGAAGTTAAATAAGAAAGGTAGGGTAAATTAGAGACTTGAGAAGCTAATTTCCATCGCATTGGTGGAAAAAAATACTGACCATTTCACCATCTCGGACAATAAAAAAGGGGAAAAAGCAGGCATAATAATATGTATATTGCTCACAAGACATAATTCTCTGAGAATACTATGACCGGTATATAAATAGCAGAATGAATGTTATTAACATGTTAATTTTACTAACCCTTTAACCTATTGATTAGCCAAACAGAAGGAAACAGCATCTTTTCATGCTTCGTCCCCCCCTTGCCTTTCATGTAATTGGATTCAAATTCACATCTGTAGCTACTAAACCAATGTTTTCAACCTTTCTTCTGCACCTCCCCACCCCCAGCTGTTTAACCTCCCTTCTCCAGAGCTGGCATAAATGTAAGCCTTTATTTGTGAATATTCCGATAAGCACTTTGCCTCCAACTATATTGTTCAAGTACCAGCATCATTGTTACAGCTGTAATTGTTACTATCAAGACACAGTTCTTTGTAATTAGAAAGTCAAGATGGTATTCAGCAGTATGGCAGCACAGATTCTCATTTGTTAGGCTATTAGAAAAAAAATGTTTACAGAGAAAACAGTGTCATTGTTTAGTGCTCTTAATTGACCATCTGCCTGGTAAAGAAATGTCCAAAGAAGGATAAATAAGACTATAGTGCACTTATTTATTTATTTTCTTTGTGCAATGAGTAAATTAGGAAAAGCAACAGCAGATCCAAACTAGACAAGACATTGCTAAATCAGGCTGCAAGTGAAATCATGTCATGAATACATTAACTTTTATTTCTCTCAGTGTCAAGACTCATGTCTGCATCTTCCTCAAAGTTTGTTGGGAAGAAAAAGGAGGCCAGATCTTGGTGGGCACTGTGGAGTTGACAGCATTCATCTTTTAACAAAGTCAAGCATATGCTGCTTTGAGTGCAGCATCTTTGCATGCTCAATGACGTGTTTAATGTCACCTTTCCCACTGTAAATCATCCCTGAGTAAATCCACAAGGGAGAGTGGTACTTGGAATTAAGCAGGAGAGAAATAAAATTCATGACCATGTGGTTCTATCTCAGGGAATTTGGTACGTATTGACAAGAGAGATTCACACCTGACGGGGCCGAGAGCTAATTTGTAGTAGGGCTGTTTATCTTCTGCCTGAAAGGAATACTTTTTCATATTTAATGTGCATTTTCCTCATCTCCATGTGTGTATGTGTTTGTGATTTAACGTGGCTAAGGGTGCATCTGGTGCTAAGGGTGCATTTTTGCATTTTTGCTGCTTGGCAAAAACGTAGTTTCAAATTTCGGGATATTCAAAATTCTGTGTTTTCCCTACGAAAAAGTAAAGGAGGGGCAGTTTGGCCTTCCAAAACCAGGTTTGATGTTTTCATTGCACAAGGCACTGTCTTAGGTAGGCAGTATTTGATCTGTTCTTGCAGGATTTGTTTACAGTTTTGAAATGAGAAATGAAAAAAACCCCATGAGTATTACCATGCTAAACCAATATGGTAAATGACCAAACTGATCTTTTGTACTATTTGTCTTCCAACATTCCAAGTGGAAATAATCCACTACATTTATATGTTGATTTATTACAGTGTGGAGGAAAAAAAAAAACCTAAAAACAAACCATAGAGAGAAGCAATAGGAAAAAAAAGCAGGGAAAAGAGAAATTAATTAAAAAAGTAAGGATTACATTTAATAATGATTTCTCAAAATATTACCTTCCAGGTTTGAAAGGCACCAGGACACCTGCAAGAGGAGCCCCAGTTGTGCCTCCTCCATGATGAGGCTCATACAGAGGTGCAGCCCCTCAGATGGTGACAGGGGGACAGCAACCAGTGCCCTCACAGCACTGTCACTGTGTGTGACAGTGGTCATGAAGCAGGTAGGTCAAACTTCCCAACACTTAAAAAGCTGACAGTGTTTTAGCCATCAGTTCTTCCACGGGAATTTTCTTTCCATAAAACCTCTCCTTTGACGTCTTCACCCGATGCCTCAGTGCATCATCCCTTGTCCATCTGTTCCCTACTGAAACCTTCCTTTTTTTCATTTCCCCTGATTGCTGTGCTAAATAGTGATCCTAGTAATTTTTGTTTCTTTTTCTTCCCTGATATTTACTCTTCTTTTTTTTTTTTTTTAGTTTTCAGGGAGTACCTCAAAATCTTGGTTTCCTGCCTGATAGCTTTTGAGGAGGGGTGGTAGCTAAAGGAACCTAACTCATTTTTCTTAAAAAAACCCCCAAATAATAGGTTTGCCTCTAAATTTAGAATTTTCTTGTTCTCCAATTTCTGGAGATCTTTCATTAGTGCCAACTGCATTTTTTCAGAAAGCAACAACCCACATTTTTTTTTTTTACTTCCAGTAGGGAATATAATGAATATAATAACTTCCACCAACAGGTGCAGGAAGGTGAGCAGTGCACGGGGCTTTCAGGGTACTGCACCTTTTCCCTGTCCTAAAGACACACAAATTTGTGAGGTTCAAAGCCTTTCTTTGATATCTTCTGAACTGGAACCTGCAGAATTAGACATCCCACCCTACCAAGCTGGAAAAGCCTGCTCAGACATCCTCCTGCTCGAGCATGCTGGTGTCCCCATCCACACTGCCCATTTCCTCAGTGCTGTGCTGGTTTGACAAATGCTTAACAATGACTTCTTGCAGGTGCCTTTACAAACTGCACCTGTACCTGTTTCCCCAGCACTGGGGCTGTGTGCTGGCACCTCACCTGGACGTAGAGCCCGCGTTTCACCTGCGTGTGCTTCTGTGCACCGAGCAGAAGAGGCGGCTCAGAAAGCTGTGATTGACACCAGTAGTTGGAAGCTCATGCATGTCTAGCTACTTGTTCAATTTGTTTAGTCCAGTGGTCTCCTTTATTAGGAGCCTTAGGGTTTTTCTTTTGATTTGGTAGGGTGATTATAATGAGAGCTCCTTAGTGCTACTCCACCAGGGTATCTGCCCACTTGCTCTCAAACCTCTGCTGTATAGCTTGTGATTAATGTAAAACAGTCAGATGCCCTTCAGATCAGTCGAATTTGGGGATTCTATTACAAACATGAAAAGCGTGCTGACCGCACAAAGCCCCTGGTGGTACCAATTAAAGACAGCGTCATTCACTTGGCACTTCTCATGCTGCTGCTTTTTTTTGCTTTTTTTTTTCCTTATCCTTTTCACAGCAAACCTTCCCTGGCAGTGGTGGCCCCTCTGCCACCACGCGCCTGTGCCACGCTCCGGCCCCAAGGCACGGCTTCCTCGGCTAGTGGGGAGACACCTTGCTTCCCCCTCTCTCTGCCCAATTTCTGTGCCCCTCAGCTAGTCCTCCATCTGGCCAGACGTGAGCGATGGGATTTGAGTACAATATCTCCTCATGTCATCATGCAGGGATGGGAAGTGCTGCCTGGACTGCCCCCAGCAGAAAGCCCCGTGGTGTCCCTTCCCCGCTGGTGCAGAGGCTCCGGGCTGCCACCGCAGATCATTTGACAAATTTCACGGTAAGACCCCAGCTTATCAGCATTATCTTTTTATTCCAGTCAGTATTCCAAGTATTCCTTGAATGTCACAAGTGAAGAGCTGGATTATACACAAAGTGTCCAGTGTTAAATCCTATTTACATGCAAAAGTTGTGCCAGCTTACCCTGAGGTTAAATCAGTGCAAACCCCTTCTGTGAGGACTCTTCTAAACTAATGAGAATGACCTCCTATAATTTCTTTAATTAAAGAACAACAACCACCTAAATCAAGATAAAACATGCTTCATATTAAATAAGGTTGGCCAAGCAAATGGGTTTGCCTTGCTTGAAGTGCTGACTCCACTTTTTGCACAGACTGAATTATCCAAGTGCTTTGGACAGAGCAAATCTCAGCTCTGGTTTCTGGCTTTCTGCAGCAGGGAGTGAGGGGGTGTCACACCTGCCCTCACCAAAGGCAACAGAGGATTTGCCCCTACCTGTGAGGTGGCCACGGTCTCTGTCCAACACACACGTTTTGTGTTAAATCCCTTGCACCACATTTGATATTCCACAAATCCTTCCCAAGTGTCTGGTTGAAAGTGTTATTTTTTCATGAAAGTTACTCCCCCGTCCAGTGCTCCGTGTTTGTCAGAAAGGAATAAAACTGCACCATATAAAAGCAGAGAGAAAAATCCTTTATTTCTGAAATTTTATCTTTCAGAGTCAGGTTTGTTTGGTTTTGGTTTTTTCTTTTTGCATAAGGCTTTTCATAAATCTAAGGTCTTGTAACTTTGATCTATTCACCCTCTGCCTACAACATAGACTCCAATTGCACCTCTTACTTAATGGATTATTAGGAATTGAGGAATCCTCATGTAAAAAGAACCCAAACAATACTGGTTTCTTATTTCTCTGATCATTTCTTAAAAAAAAAAAAAGACACTTAAAAGCTACTAAGATGACACTTTCAGTTGTGAAGGCAATAGCTTTTGCTATTTTCACTATTTCACTCCTTCCTTTCACTGCTGATTCAGGGAACTGCTGAGCACAGAATTGGTGTTGTTTCCATTCCAACAGCAACAATCTCATCTCAGATCTTGTGATCGTTGTTTATCTCAAGGTATCCCTTCTAATCCAGCTGTTTTCTAACTCTGTCCCGAGAGCTGATTATTCAATGACTTTTCACAGACCTAAACCCTTCCCTTGCTCAAATCACCTGCTCACGTAGGGATTGTGCTGCTCTTCCCATCAGTGCTCAGACCCTCCTGGAAGGGGCAAAGCCAACCAGAACAGTTGCCCTGTGAGGCTTTGGGACATCAGTGGTGTTCACCGTGTCCATATCTCGCTGCAACCGGAACCTTATGAACAAAATCACCACAGTTAACTCCGGCAGAAAATGTGCTGGAATCACTGGGATGTGATTTCTTTGCAATCAATATTATGGAGCTCCCACCGATCTTTTAATAATGTTTTATTCGTGGATGAAAAGATGCTGGTGTCCCAATGCATTCTATCCATCCATTCATGTTTAGACCTGTAAATGAACCCCAAAATAATGGTAATGTTTGGTTGCCTGCTACATGTATACACTGGGCTTACTTGTATATAAATTAAACTGCATTTAATCCTGTTAAGCATTAAAACGTAAGCAAACAAACTGACTAACAAAATACGGTGGGGTGGCAGAGAAAGAAAATAAGCTCAGAAAATAATTGGTTCTAAGGAAGTTAATGAAAGTTTGTAGCATGCTTTTTGTATGAATAGAGTTCAGAAGAGATTATTTTTTTGAAGTGTTACTCACAAATCTCCCGTATCCACAATAGATCTTTTGTTAACTGTACCTGCACATTTATTGTGTACGACAGTCTAATAAAATGAAGTCATTTTAATAAACATTGTATCAGAATATCCTATCTGCTATGTGGCACTGCGAATTTCCACTACTGAAGGAAACATTTAACATTCTCACCATTTTAATACTTTTAATAAATATTTGCAATTCCTCTGATAATGCATAATGGCAGAAAAATGCATTGCTTCCAAAATTTATGTGGCTGCTGGCAGGTGGCCATTTTCCAATTTTCTGTCTCGCTAATATACATTTATTATGTATTTCCGAGGGCTTTTTTTTCAGCTTTTGGCTTGCCATAAAATTACTATTTCTTTTACAAGAGGAAGCGCTCGTGACAAAGAAATTTCAATCGAACCTAAACCTGACAAATGGACATCTGCTGGCCAAACTGGAGAAGAAAAACATTTGCCCATCGTAGCTCTCAGTTTGATCCCTTCCCATCAGCTGAAGCCACAATATGTTTGGATCAGAGACTCATATTCTGAACTGATAACAAGAATCAGCTCTCACTTAGTAATATTTTCTGAAGTGTGACACTGCATTGCATCATGTTATGCATGACATGACACGAAATAACAGAACATTACATGATGGGTTATGACATAGGGAAGTAAGATGCAAGTTAATATTATGCATTACATTTTATTTTTTTTTCTAAATTGTTGGATCAGAGCGCATGATGAGCTGTGAGTGGTCTCTTCTATGCTGGCTTTATACAACAGCCATCGATAGAGTACCTGAGCACCACCAGCAGATAATTAAGCCTCTATTGATAGCTGAAATCCTTGAATCTCTCAATGAGCACATATCGTTCTCTGTATTTAAGTAGCAGCATTCGTTTGAAGAGCAAGGGAGCAGTGACTAAGTATGAAGCCTAAACAGGCAGTAAGAAGTGGTAACACTACAAAGATGATACATTCTTATCCTCGAAATGGAAGGAAGCTGATTTTGTGAAACTCTTTATGGCATTCACAACAAAGCAGAGGATATCCTGTGTCACAGAGCATGTGCTTCTTGAAGATCCTTTCTGGTAGCAAATGATGCTCAGAGAGTGTGATTTGTTATCAGGGAGCTATTTACGATGGCCAAGATAGAAGGGCACTGAATAAATATCTATAGCTCTCAGAAACTGAGACATGATGGTGCAATAGATGGAAAGAAATATCTCAAATAAGCAGAGGAACAGAACCTCCCTACCAAAGGTGACTGCAAATTCAATAGCTTTTTCTCTTGTTTTATTTTTTCAAAGCTGTAAAGCAACAGGATAATCCACATTAATAATATACTGTATGTTATGTTTTACAATAATATGCTTTGATTAAACTAATTCCTGGAATGATAAATGCAAAGGAGACAGACTGCCCTGTGTCTGTGCTCACAACAGGAGAGGTAGATTTGCCTCATCAGATATTGTTAAATACTCTCAAAAAAAAAAGAACTTCTTGGCCATAAAGAAGGAAGTAGCAAAAATATGGTTCACTTTGCACCTTCCACACACTTCATAAAATCAGGGAGCATCAGTGCATTGTCAGCCCCTCAAAGAAGGCACTGATGAGAGGGTCTTTCTCTGACCTAAAAAGGGACAAGACCACAGTTAACTGAGCAACTGGACTGGCTAATGTGCAAAAGATTTAATCTCTAATTTGCTGGGGAATTATGGGCACATTGCTTCATTATCTGCATTTTTGGTTTTCCCTTTACTTGGCCTATCTTGGCCCCAGCTCAGGAAAGAATCACTATTTGCAAAAGATGCTTACTGGACCTAGTGGGAATGTTTCAGTGTTTTCCTGAACCAGTCCTGGAGATCCTGCAGAACTGGATATGGAGAAGGCAAAGGCACATTTTTCACTGATGATCATGCCAGGACTATAATTGTAGTTTGGAAGTGATCAGGTAGACATTTTTTGTTGAAAATTAGCATGTCTAATTCTTTTTCAAGAAAAGCACCCATTTATCTATTTTGAAACTAATTCAACTGAATTGGGTGCAAATTTGCAAATTCTCACCAGAATTTCTCAGAAATTATGGCAACCTGCAATATCTGCCAAAAAATATAATAAATTTTATTAAATAGTATTATATAATTATTTAAGATATAAATTTATACATTTATTTTATAGATAGTAAACAATTGGTAAAATATATTAATAAATATTCTATACATATACCTATCAATAGATCGTGAACTATTAATTATTAATTATTTGCTAATTAATAATCAGCAATATGTTAGCTGTTAATTAATTGTTAATTAATAATCAATAATTTGTTAACTATTAATAAATATTATGACTATTTTATGCAAATGTGTAGTAATACTTTTTACCAATTATTTACTATCTATAAAATAAAATTATGGACAAATATTTGTACAGATCATTTATTATAGGGTGATTTCTTATAGGGATCATACATTATAGAATATTACATGATACAATCTCCTCTCTATTTATTACATAAAACAAATAGAAATATATAATTAGTATTAGGGATTCAAGAGAAAAAAAGCCATGATTTTTCTTGGCAAAGGATAATGTTCAAATATTGGGGTGAACAGATGAAGGGTCCTTTTAACCCTCCTCCTGCCACTTAGACTCCTGCAAAGTGTAGACTTTCTACATACTTTTTCTTTTTTTTTCTTTTGTCTAATTGATTTCTTCCTGAATTTACAGCTATGCTGCCTTTTTAGAACTGCTTTGCAGACTTGCTCCCATGTAATATTTGGTTGTGATTAATCCATCTCACACTAGAGAACTGTCCGTGCTTTGTTTGCATTTGTTTTATTAAGTGGAGGACACGTCATTAACTTTTTGTGTGGCTCATGTTCAATGTGGGTTGATAAGAACCAGATAGTTGAGAAATGGAGATTAAAGATTTCCTGTCCCCTCATGGCCAGCTTTCTCTTAGATGAAATGAAGGATACCAGGGAGTGATACAGTCATTTCTCTACCAGTATCTACTGTATCAGTGGGCTGAATCTTAGCATTTTTGATAATGATTGTCTTCCAAGAAGAATTCATGCATAAGTATTTCTTACTCTTGCTGCTGATTTCATCCATGTCAGTGAGTTTGGTTTGCCTGCAAAAGATTTCTCAGAAGTAACTTTTCCTTGCGAAGGGTGGCCATTAAAAAAAGGAAAGAAACCAAACGCAACAAAAACAAGCAAAGGAAAACACCTGACAACAGGGAAAAACCGTGGCACTTCCCCATGAATCTTCTTAAGCTCATACATTTTATAAGTATTTAATGTGATACCTTGTAGGAACAGACAGCAGCAGGTGACTGCAATAACTTTAAAGAACAGCTTTTTCCTGTCACTTCTCTTACTGTGTGGCCCAACATGTTCCTAACAGATACCGCTTGCACAGCATCCCCATTTCTCTTAGGAAAATCAGTATAGATTGGTAATAAAGCATGGCAACATACAATTAAAAATTAATAGCAAAATGATTACATTATTCTCTTCTAGCAGCAAAAAAACCCCTCCAACCTACAACAAAGGCCTTTAAAGCACTTTGGCTGTTTTCCAAAAGAGTTGATTAATACTCCATGCAGAACGACTGCTGTGACGCTATTGCCAGGCAGGAATTGCTGACTGTCCGTCGAGGAACCGGGCAGGTGGCAGGGAAGGAAGGCTCTGCTCCGCATCCCGGTGCCCTCGGCACAGGAAAAGCTGTTCAAATGGCAGCAGCATGGCAAGGCAGTCCTTTAGATGATTGGAATAATCTGTGACATTCAAAACCGGGACACAACGCATTGGGAAGCCTAGAGAGAGTGGAGTTGCTTTCCTCAAGCCCAAAACAAAGGCTTTGCAATGTTACATATATTATTCTGATCACAAAAGTCTCTTGCATTAGGGCTTTCAGTGTGAGATAATTGACCTTGACATTGCTTTCAGCTGAGGGCACATAACTCTTAGTGCAGTGACTTACCTTGAAGAAAACTGTGCAACTGCAAAGAATATTTACTTACTATCTTCTCTTTTTTTTTTTTTCTTTTAATTCTTGAAAACTGTGCTCTGCAAGGACAAGTAGGCAGAAGTGTAGTGAGGGATGGAAGGTATTTTATGTGGATGAACACATGAAGAGGTGATTATGTATTGCTAAAAGTCTAATCCCTGGATAAACTACAGTTTGCTATTAATTCTTAGGACTTGCTTAGCTGCTACTTAACATTTCCACGACTTAACAATTATATTCTTGAGCTAAGAGTAACTTTTCAACAAAATGTGTGGGGATTAGAAACATTGATAATTATATTAATTAATATTAATGGGAGTGACAATATTTGTAGTCATATGACAAACATAAGGAAAGCAGGGCTTTAATTTTATCAATTAATTCTGTTTCTAATTGCTTTCACTATTCAATTGTCAGAACGTGTTCCACTTGCAAGAAGGAATGTGTTAAGCAGGCAAAACACAGACCAAAATTGAGGGGAAAGAGGGCTGTGTATTTGTATATGGTATCATCTGTTATCCAGAAACATACTGAGCCTTCTCTCTGGGCTTTGGATTTTCTCCCCTCCATTTATAATAAATGCCAATCATCTGGAGTAATGGGCTCAGTCTCATCGAGATGGGTTAGCAGGCAGAGAGGCCACGAGGAGCAGGAAATGCCACTGATTGAAGAGCTCTCCAAATTATCAGCTATCCTTCTTCCCACACCTTCCCAGAGGTGCAGGATGAGCACAGGTCAGCAAGACAAGCAGACCTTGGAAAAGAGAACCCAGTGCATATGTCTATACTGACTCCTCAGATTAATACATTGGATTCCATCAAAGTCGTCTCTAGAGGAAGTCAGAGAGCTGCAGTCCATTGGCCTTAATCCTTCCCTGTGCTCCCGTATCTTTATACTGCTCCACCAGCTCCACACCGCCGTAAAACCAACACAATCCACCCTCCACACTCCCTGGTGTGAGGGAAATCCCTCACCAGGTCCCTTGCTGAGCACTGCAGCTGCCACAGAGGCTTCCTGGCAGCGGGAGGAAGGCAAACCCCTCCCTGCAGATGTGTCCAGTGTGGTGGGATGATGCTCTTGCTTGGTGTCCTGACAGGCTGGGGACGTGCAAACCCCACTAAGGGTGGAGGTGTGAAAGTCTTCACTTCCTGAAACCAAGATTTCAGCCCAGAAGGAAATCTTAATGTGCTCAAGTTTCCCTCTGCACAGAGCCTCCACCACACAGCAATCCAAGAGACCAATAAAACAAATAATGACTATCTCCTGGGGCAGCTGCAATAAAAAACTGCTGCCAGCTAAGAATGGTGCCTTTGATGGCTCTGCAGGCGAGATATCAACAATCTCTACAGCTGCTAATCCCCTCGCGTGGTTTTACACTCGCTGCCCTTACAGCCCGTGCCCAGATGCTCTGTGCAATGTTTTGGGGTCTGCTCTTCTTCTCAGCTCATCCCTCCTCTGGTCCTCCTCAGGATTACACCCCTGTAAGGCAGTGAGTTTCTCACCAAGCACTGCACGTACAGGAGAAGGAAGCTGTCACCCAGCACATGCTGCTCTAGTGGCCTGTGGCTGCTGCCAGCTAACCTGGGAGCAGTTGCTGCCTGCTTTCCTTAGCTCTGTGGATGTTGAGCTCTGGAGTGGGAGAGAAAGTGGTCTGGGGAGTCCTCACCAAATTCCCAGTGAATAAAGGTGGACTCACTGATGAGGATGAGGGAATACCCCAAAATCTCTTGCTTTTTGTGGGCTGGAGACTTTGCCCATCCCATTCCCCCTCCTTGAGTTAAGCCAATGCTGATCCCAAGCATATTTGCATCTATGCTTATTTTCAGGATAAAATCAGGGAGCACAGTTCCATCTTGTTGTGCCAGCCACATCATTGTCAAAAGGCATTCAGGAGATTCAGATCTTTTGTGCTGCTATAAAGGTTGCTTCTTCCCCATGTCCTCATCAGGGGACAGAGTTCAGAATTAGTCCTTTTGTGTTTATTTCCACTACTCCGGGATGGACCTGGAAGCCTTTGCTTTTCCCCATCAGGAAGCAGAGATTTAACGTATCGAACACACCAGAATTGCTTAATGAGTGCTCAGTGAATATTAATAAAAGTTTGGACGTGACTCAGGCTACAATGGCTGAGAAGTTTGAAAGCTTTGGTTCAAGATTACAGGAGGCTGTGAGAAAATATGGTATCCAGCAGCTAGCATATAGTGCGGATATTTCACTATCCAGGGATCTCTAATTACTAATAATGTACAGGAACAGTATGATATGTCCTTACAATTGCAGAATCCTTTTCAAAGATAATCTTTAATAGTTTATTTGACAACCTGTAAAATTATAGAAAATTATTAGTCTTGGGAATTACAAAAATCCCCGTAGTACAGTCAAACAATAAAATTATAATTACCTGTGGGTAATTGAAATTTAACTGTTTTTTTATTGTATATTACACATCAATAGCAACATAAGTTCAAGAGTGTCCCCCTCCCCTCCCTTTTCTTTTCCCTACAGAAATGGGGAAAATGGACAACCCTGCTGGTAGCTTGTGAGCCCTTGTCACAGAACAGAGCTTGAACAATTTCGATTAAAGCAGTATGTTCGAGACTGTCATTAGACCTGCATTAAATTACATATCTGGAATGTTAAAAATAAAGAGTACTGAAGCTTATTCACAGCTGCCTGTCGTAAAGTATGCAGTCAAGGTTTTTATTATCTTTAAAGTTCTTATTTTTCTCTTTTCTAAAACTTATTGTTTCATCAAACAAATATCTAGCACATTTAAGAACAGTATGAGCACAAGAGCAGAATTGCTCGAGATGGATAAAGCATTAGCGTGTTTCCATTCTGTGCTCAGTAGTATTGTTTAGTACTAACAATGGTAATTTATCAATTATACACGAGGGAACAAAGCCCTTCACCATCTCACAGCTCCAGAACTACCTATTACAAGGCCCAAAGCTTGAGACCCCTCCCAGACCTTGTGAGGCACCATTTAGTGTTAGAATTTGCAGTACCAGGTTTTGCCTTGTCCTCTCTCAGTGACCCCACGGAGGCTGCTCAGTACTCAGCTCCATGGCACATCAAGACTTTCCTAAACCAGGAAAATTATAACCTTTTTTTTTCTATTTTCCTTCTGAACCAGGGCTTTTGATACAGGCACAAAGGTTCACAGCCTGCTCGTCTAGTTGGTGAGACCATCCAGTCCCTCTTGTGTCATTTGTGGTGGCATTGCAGACTTTGAGAACAATCTGAAGGACAAACCCCAAGCTGTTTGGATGCTGCTCAGCCCCAAATACGGTATGTTTGACAATTAATTGTCTATGGAGCAGCTTTGTTATACACTACTGAGATGCACAAAATCTTCTGCAGAAGGATCAGACTGGCTACTTTGATTCTGTAAAGTGCTTTGTGATCATTATGTGACTATAACTGCACAAGTGAAAATACCTGTTTTATTAAGAGTTTCAATTAAAGTGTTTAATACACAGATTTTATCATGAGAGAGGCATCACAAAGACTGAGTACAACATAATGGCAAGCCAGGTATTGTTATGATTATCATTACTATTATGTATGTATAGTCATTGAAGTATTAACTGAAAACTGGGAAATGGAGTTCCTGAGCCCCAAAGAGCTCATAGTAACAGCTTCTTGTGGAGAAGACAACAATAGCAAACCAGCTCTGCTTCATGGCACAATTAATGGTGCATGCAGCCCAGGTTGGAAATTCCTGATCCTGCATGAGTTTTCCTGTTTTCAAAGATCAGAGAAGGTAAAAAAATGCAGTTGGATCCCGCTTTTTTTATTTTGGTGCCTCTTACTCTTCCCACCACCTCTTTTTTCTGCCTGTTGGTGAAGGGCATCCCTGCATGTCAGGACTGTGATGTGTCTGTTTACCCAGCAAAGCAGCTGGAAACTTCTCATCAAAGTGGGTTTATTTGGATGCCTTTACAAGGGAGAGATATTTTGCCTCCCTCACTTGTCCTTCCCATTGGAGATTTTTAAGTGTCTTGGCCTCCTAAAAGCTAAAGTGGAGCTTTTGATTTAGATTTAAACCGAGTATAAATCTTTCAAAAGGGGAAACCCCAAGAGGGACTGTATCCTCAGGGCTGTCAATGGGCTGAGCTGCAGCAGAGGAGAGACAGGGCTGGCCCAAAATCATGGTCCTTGTGCCAAATAGCTGTGACCTCATGCAACACACCAAGGAGATGGAGGTGAGAGGTTGGTTGGCTTTGGCTGTTTCCTAATCTTGACCCCTTCAGCAACACCTGAAATCTAGGGGAAAGTTTTTCCCCATCCTTACCTCGACCCTCATTTCCTGGCAGATTCCAGCTGCTGAGCTCAACCGCCCTAAAAAAAGAAGCCGGAGAGCTGTTGTCCAGTAGGATTTATATAGATGGGATGCTTGGAAGCTAAATCTTCCAACCACTACAGTGCACCATACTGTAAGACAAAGAGCAGGAGATAAATTTTCCTGCCTTTGAAATTTCTGCTCATGTCACTCTCTGGGGCTAATTTTTACCATTTTGTCTCCAGTGAGAAGAGCTATTCCGATGTGTCTTCTCTGCACTGCAATGCAGGGATGGAGCTAAGGATGAGCAATGGGAGCACTGTCAGGATTACAGCCAGGTCAGATTTTTCATTTTGCTAAAAGTCACTTCTTTGACACAGGAATCAGGAAAATACATTGATGCAACATGTTGAAAAGAATGTTATTTGCTCCTACCAATATGATTCAAATAGAGAGACCCAAGCCTTATGTTAAAGGGGGAAAATGTCTTCCAACAAAAACACAAACTTTGACACTGAGTACAATATAATGGGAGGGCCCAAGAGGGGTTTTGGGGAGCTCCTCATGGAAAGGGAGCTTTCCATGGACTTTTTTTCTCTGTAGGGTGAGCACATGCATGTTTATGTAAAGAAGGATGCAAGCTTCCAAATAAAAAAAAAGGGGTGGTGGTGGCTATTTTTCTTTCTCATGGATGAGGTTAGAAGGTTAATAAAAGAGTTAATCCCAGCCTGCTCTGCAAGAGGGAACAGCTCGCATTCGTGAGACTTTAAAAGGCTTCGGAGTGTCTGTGTATGGATGTTGTTATTTCCTGTCAGGGCTATCCCAAGAAGACAGGGGGGCCAGGAGCTGTTTTTTGGAAGAGGAGTTTGTCCATTAACTCAGTCAGCTGGAGTGGAAATAAAAAGGTTTGTATAAAATGGTTTTGAGAGTAAACTCCAATTCAGTAAAGCTCTGGGGTTTTGGGTTTTTTTTTACTTGTGAGAACATAAAATTAAAACTTAGTTCAGAGCAGTGGAGGCCAACCAGAACATCTCAACCAAATGACCCAGAGAATCCGGTTGGCTTTTTTTAAATTAAAATAAAAATCCATTAACATGAATTTACCTTCTAAATATGTGAATGGTTTGAAAGATAAAAAAAAATAGTCAACTTAGGAAACATTCAGCAAATTACAGGACCGGGCAGTGATTTACAAGGAGATCTGCATGTCCATTTGCTTTGCAGCATTGAGGGAATGCTTATTGCACAGCATAGAAAATTACCTCAGGCCTTGTTGGGCTTTTCTGGAGAAATATATACCACAGTCTGGGTTACTGATATCCCTCCATGCCTTGGTGTCCCCCTGCACAGCTGAGGGTCCATACTGAGACACAGTGTAAATGTTACAGTCGATATCCCTTGGTAGAGAAACTGCACTGCAATTTCTTTTTTCCTACTTTCCTTCCTTTTGCACGAGGCTCCTGTGCTACCAGCTAACCATTTCCTATAAGAAAATGGCATTGTGTTAAAGTTATATAGTGTATCATATTAAATTTTATAACAGTGCTTTGTGTTTTGAAAAGACTTTGGGGGGAAACAGCATCAATCAGGGAACCACATTTGATAGACTTGGAAGGGGCCTCCTGGGTCATTTTGTCCGAGACCTCTATGAAACAGGAAGGCTTCTGCAAAATACCTTTCCCATAAATGTATCTAACCTTTCCTTAAAGACACTGAGTGATTGTGCCATAAATACCTCAAGCAGCTAAACTAGTCTGATTGACCTTACGATCAGTAAGTGTCTCCTAATACTGTACAGAAGGTACAATTTTCCATTCTTTCAGCCGTGGCTAAGCAAGAAAAAAGGGCAAATACACAGTAATGGGCAACAATACAGACTGTGCAAACAGTTTTGCTTTCACTTTACTGCCATCACCTACCATAAATCTGGATGTACCATTGATACTTGGTTTCCCAGTGTAGTGTCTGTGATCCCTGTAGTATCTATCTCACTTTGACTCTGACTTTTGGAGAGCCACCATTACAGGGTGCAGAAATAAGGAAGACGTACGAGCAGCACTTTCCGATTCAGAAACCCATTCCAACCTGATGCCAGTAGTTAAAGTATTTATTTCTATCTTCTATTTATTAGAATTTGTGAGTTGTTTCTTGTCAGGACCATGGGAGCGAGGGAAAGCACAGGGCTTTCTATGGTTCCATCAGCGTGTCAAGGAATAATTTTCATTCTCCAGTTCCAACAATTGTGCATATTGAAAAATAAATACATGGTAGTTTAGCTGTTTGTTGTGTGCAGCAGAGCCTTGTGTGCTGGTTCTGCCCCACACTGCTCTGCCTTCTTTCTCTCAGTGAATATTAGAAGTGTCGTTTTGGGTAGATGTGTTATTAAATCACAGACACAGTCATTGCTGAGAGCTTCCTGAGCTGCACATAAACCATCTTTGGCTTGGGGTTTTTTGTCTTATTTTCTTTTCTGTAAGCATTGAAAGATGGTGAGAGAGCTGAAGACCAGTTCTCAAACACCTATTTTCATCAAGTATACACTTACTTGTGGAGAGGGGTTGTCTGATGGTGTCCTTCTCACCTGACTGACCACTACCTGGGCACAGGAGAAATTTAGACACCCTTCAGTGTCCTCATGCAGCTCCCAGGGAAAAGCATGTCTTTAAAAGCTGAATATGCCACCTTGGTGTCTGTGAGACATTGATACACAAAGGAACAACCATCTCAGAGTCATACAGGTTTTATTGTGGTCACCAGCCACTGCCTGAACACACAGAATCATTCCCAAAAGAGACACTGGGAGCTCCAGTAAAAGCTGGGACAAAGACTGTCTTATCTGATGCCCAGCAGAAAAAAAAAAAGGCTCATAAGAATATTTCACTCCTGACCAGCAGAAGTGTATTTCAGACTAACTGAGGAAGACTCCAGAGGAATTTCTTCTTCAGAAGATGAGAGAAAAAGGTTTTACAAGGTTGAGGCATCCTCAGCTTGGTTTCAATGTCCATTCACTGTTCTGGGTTAGATCAGGCTGCTTTTTTTATTTTATTTTTTGTTTGTTTGTTTGTTCCAGAGTTGTAGTTCTTGTACACAAAAGACTGCTGCAAAATGGGCCAGGAAAACTGGAGTTTAGTCCTAAAAGCAAAAGATACAGAAAAGATAATTTAGAAAGAACATAGTGATCCTGCGTTTGAAGACATGTTGGTAGCTCTGTATGTCCCTGCCCACATTTTTTTGCTGTGCCCTCTTTATGTCTCGTGCTTTTGTGCAGGCTGGCACTCACTTTGTAGTTCTCAGCTCAGGGCTCATCATTTCCTAAACGTCTTAAATCAGCCCTGAAAAACACAGATTTTTTTTTTTTTTTTAACGCTGTCTCTATACAAATAACTAAATCCCATCCTTTCTCTGATGTGCAAAGTTGTAAAATATTTGTTTAGTATTTAATCACATAGAAATATGTGAAATTACACTAGAAATACACCTCACCCTGGTGTTTAAGGGCAGAGGCTTGTGAGATTGTGACAAGTCAATCTGATATTATAAAATTGCAAAATATCTGTGCCGAGAAAAATACAAATACTAACAGACCTTCTTTTATTGCTTATATTCTCTTCACTTTTTCTCGCTGAATCACCAGATCAGGCTTGCCTCATCACAATAGAGTTGAGCCAGCCCCAAGCCCAGCTCACCCCTCACTCCTCTTATGCCTTAAATTCCAGCTCTAAAGAGCAGCTCTTCTCTGCTAGGGTGATCTGAACCCACATCTGCTTAAATGGTATCCTGGGTACTCAACTTCATGACAAAAAATAAGATCCTCCTGCTTCAGTCCCTCATATTCCTCATTTTCCACTCAGTGCCCCTCCATTCCCTATATTGTAAATACTTACTGTGGGGAAAGAAACATATTTTATTTTGTTATGTTAGAAGGGGGAATGAAGGCAAACAGGGCTTTTTGTGTTGTTTTATTGTTATTATTATTATTATTGAGGGAGGGTTTGTTTGTTTTTTTTTCAGAACAGGCAAGTTCTGACCCATAACTGTGCTCTTAGGTACTCCTGAAAATAAAAAGTACGTTTGCATCAGGTGCGCCTAAAAAACAAAAAGAAATTATATATCATAGAGGTTTTCTGATCCTGTTCAGTGCACAAATGCCAATCAGAAGCAAATATGGGGCTGTATCTTGCAATCCATTTTGATATTTACAACAGAACATGGCATATCATTTAATTTAAATTTGCAGCATGCTCAGTGTAATTAATGCTGTGCAGTGCCTAGAAAATCGTGATTTCTTAATGTGATACAATGCCTGCATGCTGAGAGCATTTTTTTTTTAAACTACTGTATCATTTTGGAGCATTAATGGGGAGGCACTGCCATTAAACAGGAAAAAGAGCCATGCTCACTTGCTCTTTATGAAACTTCCATGCAGCTCCCCAAAATATGATGCAAAGTACAGGTTTGTTTTAAAAGAGAGGGGAGAGTCAGAGATTTAATTTTCCCTTGACACAGCATGATGCCTGAATAGCCAGATAGCTATTCCTAAATTATGTGCATTTCATTCCTAGGAGCTGTGAGCATTTTGAATGGGCTGTTGTTAAATACAGTACACAAGCATAAATACTCCAGGGAACAGCAAGCTGAAATTTTGGCATGAGCAGAAATCTGATGTAGTATCTGAGCACGTAATAATAATGCATATTGATTTGTCAGGAGTGCTAAAAGAGGGGGGGTTGGTATTCTGGGATGAGAACTGGTAAACTTGGGAACATCCTGTGTGATTAGAATAAGCTGTGGTATTTGTGTGCTGCGGTTCTGGCAAGGTTCACCTTTAGACCTGGAGAGTGGTTGGGGTCTCAGTTTTGGGACTGAACCCAAGAAGCTGAATGCATGATAAAGACATTTATATATTATCCATAAGTGAAGCACAGGGAATTTGCGTCTTCACCTAGAAAATTGGGCAATGAAAAGGTAATGTGTTTGGCAAGAAGGGTTGGGACCAAAAGCCCTTCAAGGTCAGGAGCTTTACTGCCTTGACTGCAATGAGCTTGAGTGTGAGTTTACCTGCTTTGTGATTGAACTGTGCAAAAAGAAGAGGAAAGAAAAAAACCCAAACCAACACTCCTATTAATTCGCAAGGAAACAGTTTCTGCCAGATGTGCTCTAAAAGCTCTCTTTATAGACCTATTGATAGCAAAGCAAATTCTTCAGGTCCTCTAAATAAATCTGCTCCTAAATATAATGCTTCAACTTCTATATTCTCATCTGACACCTGACAATTCAACCTTAAGAGTAATTGGTCCTGTCTTTGAACCTCTGCAAATGCTGCATGAGGAGAGTGGACAATTTATTGATTTAGATTGATTTTTGTAAGAAGCATCTGAGACGGACGCGGTGTCCAGTGTCAGACGCTGTGTATATCACACTCCTCGGGCACATCCACAGGCAACCAGGAGGGTTCAGGAGTATGTGGAGGTGCTCAGTGAGCACCTGCAAACCATGCTGTGTGGGACCTCTCTGAGTGATCACCTTGGAGAGAGACACCAGTTAATTGACCAAGTTTGAATTTCAGAAGGGTGATGACACAGCTCTTCTGTTGGGAAGCCATCCCAAGCCATGCGGTATCTCCACACGCAGGAACCAAAGGGTTATTCTAGTGCAGGTTGCCCAGTGTGTTGATCTCCTCATACTGTAGCTGTTGGGAATCATTGCTTGGATATTTCCACGCCTGTAACTGTATTTTCCAGTGCTGTGGTTATTCGAGAACATTACAGGACAGGGCAGTGGATTTGTCGGGAGTGAAAGGATTTGTGAACTGGCTGTTTAGTTTGTGACAAAAAAAAAATGTCATTGATATTAATAGCTCTGAGCCCCAGAAAAGACCTAAAAAAACCCAGGGAAACAGCAGAACAAAAGAAGACAGAAACAAGATGGCACGAGGGTCTCATCACCAGGGATGGTGATTAAGACGTGAGGCGAAGGGCTGCCCCGCTCGTGTGCGAGTTTGGCTGGGGAAATCACCCTCCTCCCGCTGCCTCGCCTCCCTCATCCATAATGAGGGAAGGACTAACTTTGCAGCACACTTTGCATTGGCACTGCATGCTAACTTCATTACTGTTTGCAACAGCCTGTGCAATCCTCAGAGGAAAGGAATAATAACAAAGAAAAAAAAATGATAATTACCAAGTGCATAGTTTTCATCTGTAATCTTCATTTCAGGATTCACTCTTCCCGATGTCAATATTTTATAATGGAAGAATGAGATATGCTAAGTTTCCGTTTGATGGAAGTAAATTCAGATTTAATATTGCCAAGGAGCTGAATTTTTAATACAGCAGAGCAGAATGCAGCCATTCCAGCCCCTGTTTGCGGCTCCTGCCGCTCCTTTGTACCGGCTCAGCGATGTTCCCATGACCAGGCGGAAAAATGGGAAGAAGCTGGTCGGAATTTCCAGTGGGGTGACAGTACTTTGTCATTTAGCTCTGTCACGATAATTGGGAGTGTCACACAATGAAGCAACATGACACACCCCTGGTAAATGAAGAGTTTTCAAAGTGATGTACAACCCCTGTCAACTGCCAAAGCTTTTGTTTGTTCATGGAGCGAGGCAGCATTTCCAGAAGGAAAACCGCACTGGAGAGGCACACTTGGAAAGTTTGCTGTAAATTGATTTCCTCTGTGTTTTTATAAAATGGGATAGATCCTATGAACAGTAGGAGAATACCCTCTTTTATCACACACTCCAACCTGCTGAGGACTTTCCACAAACTCTTTAGGAATTTACCTCTTTTTGTTAAATTGGGTTGGATCTCATTAATAAAAGAATGGTATAATGGAAAAGAGTTTCTAAAATTATACTGTAACCTAGAATTGCAGGATTCAGCTTTCTCTGCCTGAAGAAAAAAATTCTGAAGCATTAAACTTACTTTATCAAGCATTGCACCTGACATGCTCTCATAAATTTTACATACATTTTAACTTATTTTAATATTATGCAGGCTTGGTTTAAAATATTCCCATGAAGTAACTAAAATGAAGCTGCTCAGCCATAAATTAGAGCTAAAAAAATACTTGTTCCCCCCCGCCCCATCAATATTTCTTTACTTAAAATCATGTGTTGTATGTAAGTTAAATTTTCCCTTGCTGAGATACTTTGTATATCTTAATAGGAACTACCACAGGCCCAGTGAGCTGTATTTCTGTAGGGTTAAATGTACTGTCTTTGCTTTTTTTAGAGGTGTCTTGCCTAAAAGCAGATATCAGTAACCCTTTGCATGCCAAAGTGCAGCAGGGCCCACAGCTAAACATGTGGTCACATATATTTATACACACATACATATTTATTTATATATTTTTAAACATCTATTTTTATGCTTATATATGCACACATATATGTATATTTATAAAATGCATATATAAAATATATAAAATTATTATATATATTTATAACTATATTTTCTACATTTATAGATAGGTATCTATATCTATACATATACACACATATATAGATATGTATATGTATATATATATAGATCTATATACATATCTATATATGTATATATACACACATGTATATCATAGAATCATAGAATGGCCTGGGTTGGAAGGGACCTTAAAGCCCATCCAGTTCCACCCCCTGCCATGGGCAGGGACACCTTCCACTATCCCAGGTTGTTGAAAGCCCTGTCCAACCTGGCTTTGGACACTTCCAGGGATGGAGCAGCCACAGCTTCTCTGGGCAACCTGTACCAGTTCCTCACTATCTTCACAGTAAAGATTTTTTTCCTCATATCTAATCTAATCCTACTCTCTCTCAGTTTGAAGCCATTCCCCCTTGTCCTGTCCCTCCAGGTCCTTGCAAATAGTCTCTCTCCATGTCTCTTGTGGGCTCCCTTCAGTTACTGGGAGGCCACACTCAGGTCACCCTAAAGCCTTCTCTTTTCCAGGCTGAACAATCCCAGTTGTCTCAGCCTGTCCTTGTAGGAGAGGTGCTCCACCCCTCTTGTCATCATGGTGGCCTTCTCATGTATATTATCTAAAAATATATACATATTTTTCCAGGAGCAGCCCTGCTGGTCGGATGGGCAGATGATGGCACCGACAGAGGCTTCCCAGTGTGACACCCCAAGGCTGCCCCTTCCTTGGGCCAGCGTCCTCATCCCGCAGGTACGACATCACCCACAACTCATCACAAAGCTCCGTTTGTGTCCCGAGCCCTGAACCTATTTCAAAGCCCAAGCTAAATTACACAAACACTTGCCTATAGACATAACAGGACTGTTATGAAATACTGTCAGCTTGTTGCCATTTAGCCCGAGCACACCCTGCATGTGTCTGTCAGGCCATACTTGGGCAGCTCTGCCGCGTGCGACGTGTCCCAGACACTGGGGTGATTATGTCTGAATGCTCCTTATCTGATGGGGCAGCCGACAGTGCTGCACATCTGTGCTCCGAGGCTCTGCTGCGGCGCTGCCACGCCACTATTTATTTTGCTTCTGCAAGTTAGTTTTCCTTGAGAAGCAGCAGGGGCCTTCTTCAATGAACTGAAAAATGTGTATTGTATGAAGGTCTGCAGAGGGTTTGTACCGTAGTTCAATGGGCAAACGCGAACCCAGGGGATGACATTTCATTTAAACATTTGGTTTACATCTTTACATGCCAAAAATATTAATATCCTGACTTCAACAAACTGAATTCAGCACTTTTCCCCCCCCCCCCCTTAAATGAAGTAATTATAGCCAAAACACTCTGTGGGTATTTATTCTTCCTTCTCAGAGGTGGAGTTTCGCACACGAACATTTGGTTTCAGGGCTGGAATTGTCAGTAGCTGCTCACTTGACACTTTCCCGTTCGTTTGCATTGGAAACCACCAGTAGTTTCTTTTCTCGTGTTTATTGTATTACTCTCAGCCCTTTGATCGGGACATCTTGGATAGCAGCAAAGTCTAGCTTAGTGCCTGTCTGCTAGTTAGAAAAAAAAAGGTGAAGAATATGGTTTCTGTCAAAGGATCTACAAAGACAGTTAATGTAATTGAGAAGCAGAAGGGCATTTATGGAAGTGCATCTGAATGTCCTCTTCACATGTAATTGCATCAGGAATTCTACATTAACATGCAAGTGCTGTCCAAAGGGGAAAAAAAAAAGAAAAAAGCTTATTTTTAGGTAGAAGCCCTCAGTGGGCAGTAAATTACCCATAATATCCCCCAAACTAGCAATTAGCCCTGTTTGCTGACTACCTGAATTGTTTCACAGTAGTTCAGCACAGTCTTACCAGTTATCACCATACTTATAATCAGAGATTCCGTGTATGATTCCCGCAGCTCCACATACTGCCTGCCTAAGGTCAGCAGGAATAACAAATACATTTTATTTGCTTCTTTTGGCCCTTTAAAGCTGTTTTCTCAGGCTACAATATGTGAGGAAAGCTGATGCTGCTGTGCTGCTTAACTGGCAAGAATTTGAAAAGAGGAAGCAAGTCGCAAGTGTAGGTGTACTTTGGTATTAGTTAATATTTATTTGTTTGTGTTATTCTGTATTTATTCCCTTATTAGCAGACAGTCCTGCCTGGGGACTGAGCTTTCTACCAATTTCTGAGGTTTGCTCTTCAGAAGTTCTAACACTGGAAGACATTTTTCAACATGAGCCTGTAACTGAGGAGTGGAAAACAGGAAAATATGGAATCAAAACCCTATGGAATTTTTTCTCTTAAGGTGGTGGAGCAGTTTTCATATCTCCAAATATCCATGCTTTGCCAAAATAGTAATTCAGCTCAGAAAACAGTAGCTATATTGCCTGTTTCAGCAGTAGAAACAATCATGGGCCTCCACATGCACACAAATACAAGCACACACATCCTAAAGCACTGGGCTTAAAGAAAGACAACTAAGTAAAAATGAGACTAATGAGGCATTTGAAAAAGAATATAGAAATGTTTGGACCCTGAGCATTAAAGGTGTTTTTTTAAGTGCTGCACACGCCTTTCTGACATATTATTTCTCAGGCAAAATCCCACTGAATTAACTTAGTGCCACCATTTAAACCCTATTTTCAATGCTGGTTCTGTGTCACATTACACTGACATGGACCTGTATTCCTGTCTCTGATCTGATGGACTAGATCCGGGTAATGAAGGAGATGGAACAGGAATTCATGTTCAAGAGGAAAAACTAAAGACCGGCTCTCCTTTGCAGAGGCACTCTGAGAAGCAGAGAAAACAAAGGGCAATTGCACAGAGAGGACTGTAACTAAAAGAATTACTTCCCTCTCTGTTGGGTTTTAAGCCAGGACAAGGAGGCAAGAGTCATATGACAAACTTTACAATCCCAAGAATCTCCCAAAATGGCCCCAAACTTTTGCTATTCCAGCAGTAGATCCTCAGGTAGGGAGTCCATGACTCCCAGTTAATGGCTTAGTGAGGCAGTGACCAGTTTGGCACTCAAGGGGAAAAGGGAAGACCTGGTGGTGACATTGCCAGCAGACTCGTTTTTCAGAAGAAGAACTTGTTTTCCAGAAAAAAAAATAAAGACCTTTGGGTTGAATGCTGTTTCCACCCTTACTAATCAGGCCTTGACTAAGAAAAGTCCAAATAAACTGATCATAAATTAAGTCATCCCCATTGTGAGCATGAACACACATACCTGGCCAAGGCAGGCAAAAGCAGATTGATGAAACAACAAAGTTCACCTTGTTTTCTGAGCTGAAAGCTCACGCTGTTTCTTGGCAGAACAGGCATGTCAGGCCTGTAATAACCACTTGCTACCTTGCTTCAACCAGCATTGAAACCAGCACAATATTAACATCTTGGGGAAAATCCATCTGGAAACTGCTTTCTGGGGGAAAAAAATGAAAGGGAGATAACTGAATACCACATCCCCTGATTATTTATTTGTTGATTTCACAGTAACTTTAAGGAACTGAAAATTTCTCTCCCCATCACCTGAAAATTCGTATTTCAAACATTTTCTGTCCATTCAGCTGAATTCCTGTTTAGAAAGAAGTGGCAAAGAACAGCCATTCTTCACCTGAAGGAAAACCACTTGTCTGGCAGAGGCAGAGGTTGGTATTTGCTGTTTGGTTTTACTTTGGGGGAGTTTTTGTGGGCACATCTTCCCATGCCCAGTACAGCGGGGTGGCATCACTGGGACAAAGCCAAGCTGGCAGAGCCAGGCAGAGCATCCCCAAGCTGGGATTCAGAGCAACCCCACTGACTTAGATGTGGGCATCTGTTGCATTGACACCTCAGGGGGTTGAGGTTGGAACACAAGAGCTGAACTTTAAAAATACTTCCAAAAATGTTACTTTTTGCTGACAAGATAATACTCAAATTGACTTTTCCTTTTGCCTCCTGATGGCCTGGTATGAATATACACTTGGCATTATTCTGCATCACTTCTTCTTTCTGTTGGATCAACTAACATGATAGTTTCAGGATGCAGAGGATACTTATGTTTGGCATTAAAAAAAATACATTATGTAAATCCTGTTGTTGGAAAATTAATACAAAGTCAACTGGGTAAGTGAGCCAAAGAAAGCCTTTCCTTTATATTTTTCTGTGATTTTTTTTCCTCTTCCTGAAGCATGCTGAAGTTTGGAGACAGTAGTGAAGATGCACAGCACGCATGCTCTAAAATGCATCTACCCTATGTGAATGTACCCTGTACTGCTGGTGCAGCTTGGAAGCTCACTGGGCATGTTTTGGAGACTTTTAGCATCTCCAATATATTTCTGGAAAGGAAGCAAACAATCCAGGGCCTAGACACTGGACTTTTAAATTAACAAAATATGTATTGCTTACTTTGAAAAACACTTTGCCAAAAAAACTGGGCTAAGGAGATGTCATTTGGCACTGGATTAATTTTAGATGAAGTTTTAGGACCAGCCTAGGCTGTAGGTTTGTATTCAATGGTGTTTAAAAGTAATGCCCTGGCCAGTAACTGCTGGGATCAGGCTCTGCCAAATTTCTGTCACCTTGGGCTTCATTAGCATTTGAAAACAGACCTCTCTTGGCTTTGTGTCTCACTGAAAAATAAACCACCGGGGCTGGTCCACAGCCCTCTCATTTGGCCAGGGGTGTAGAGCTGCCTCATGCACTCAACTTTAATTTTAAAGTTCATTTTTTCACTGCAGCTCTTCAAAAGTTACCAGCGTGAGGGTTCCTGTTTACAACGGTGAAGAGTAACTCACATAAACTCCTGAAGGACCCACAAGCATTGGCTGACTAACTACTTAGCAGAATGAGTAAATATTTTGTAATTAAGTCCTTAATTAAAATTGTGGTTTTGATAAGAATAAAATCCTGCACTGCCATATGAAATATTTCCTGTGCACTTAAGGGGACCATGGGTTGCAATCACTACTCCAGCCATTCTAAAAGTGAGTGAACCAGACCACTTAAAATATTTGCAGAAAGAAATTCTGAATGAATAACACAGATAACTAAAATGTCATTTTTCTTAAATGAAGAAACTTCCCTAAGTCATATCCATCAATCAGGGAAAAGAAACAGCCCCACATAACCAGTCTGTGTGCACAGCACAAACACCATGTTTTACCTTTGAATTTGCTACAGAGGCAGGGAAAATTATCCTCCCTCCACAAATTATTTTGGGAATAACCAACATCTAATAGAAAAAAAATTAAAAATCGTAGTCTGTTCACAGACAATGTGAAAGGGATGTGATATTTATGAAGGTACTAATTTGTAAAGAAATTATTCCTTGGTTTGGTTGGCAAAAGTCTTTGAACACAAATTCTATTAAGGGCAGTAAGAGTCCAGGGTAGATAGAAAAGAGCAAGGCAGTCAAACTTTTGGGAAGACAATCAGGGGAGTCCAGACCATGCTGGGATCTAGTCAGCACTGGTGAAAAGAGCACTGCAAGTGTTTATTTACTTTTTTTACTTATTGGCTTCTTAAATTAAAGAACTGATATCATTTAAAAGCCCTGACTGTGTTGTGCTTTCCCCTTCCTTCCAGGAACAATGAGCATCAGGTAACGGGATACAAGTGGAAAACTCTCTGTGATGCCCATGGATATCAGTACAAACCCCCTCTTTCAATGCCAAGGTTATGGGTAAGGTTTTACAACAGCATCATTTCATAAGGCTAAAGTACCTTTAATTTTTTTCAAGCCACACAATGATTAATACATGTAATTTTGAAATTTCTGAATCACACATCAGTGAAAATCCATGCTAATCCATGTTAAACTCCAAGTTCAGTGGAGTAACACTAGGAGTAAAATGGCTTCAGCTGGGATCAGAGGCAGAGTGCATTTCAATTGAGGCTCCATGAAGGATTTTTAGACTCATCCCAGTTTTATATACCCAAAGCAGCTTGCTTCCTTGGCTTGCATGAGGAGGATTTCATCTCCTTTGGAATTCTGGGGTAAACTGTCCTTGTACAAAATTTGTTCAGGGTCAAGTTTTAGGCAGTATTTTGTGCTGCAATAACCACACCATGACAGACAACCTTTTCATCAGATAAGAAAAAAAATCCTCTTCTTCAGGTCAGTACAAGAAAGGAACATGACAGAGCTATAAATACAGAGCCCAGAGGTGCAAAATCTCCTGCATTAAATGCGGTCATTGGCCACATTTAAATTTTTTCCCAAACATTTCAGGTGTTACGGCAGAGAAGCAAATGTACACATGGGGGAATATCTGCAATGAAAGCAGCTTCATTGTTAAATGAGCCTCATAATTTCTGTGCATATTTTTTCAGACAATTATTAAAGATATATATATAACTGATTAGAGGGAACTGAGTTGGGTAAATCAGGTACATGTGCAACCTGAGATTCAGAGGTGGGAGAAGCTGGGAACTGAGGGAAAAGGCTGCCTGACCACATTTCCATTTGCCTGGTATGGGCCAAGGAGACTCAGTGGGGCTAAAGGAAGATTTTCAGATGACAACTGGAACATTTACATGTCGATTATGCAACTGATTTCCAGAGGTGTGCAAATACACTACAGTACCCAGTGAAGTCAGAGAGAGGTGAAGGGGGGAAGGAAAAAAGATAAAAAAAACCCACTTGATGGTCTCAGGAGTGTAAGACAAAGTTGAATCACTTAAGTAGTGATATTTTAAATCTTGTCTCCAAGGGTGCCTTGGACAAGCCTTGCTGTGAGGGTGGTGAGGTCTATTGTGATGGTTGGGTGCAAAAATTGTAAATGGCTGTCAGAAAGTGCCATCTGCGTTGGTTAAAAAAATAACCTGTACCCACACTCAGAAATTATAAGGATTTGCCAAAGGTTACCATTGGCCAGAAAGAGTTTTGAGACTCTCTCTTTATAGCTGTGCTTAAAGCCAGAGATTTGTTTGCGTGACTGTAAGTGGCAAGTCTCTGGAGACTCATCCAGCACTGGCTTAAATGAAGCCATGCCCAGGTCAGTGCAGGCAGAAGGATGGTCCAGATAAGGTAAGAAAGGAATGGATGTGAAATGGGAGGGGAGGTACCAGTGATTCATTGCTAATCTGAAGAGTTTGCTTAACTCACCTTGCCAAAAACCCAACACCAAAATTTTGAAAAAAAAAATAAAAAATTAAAAGATACTCTTCTCCTAATGAAAATGAACTCATTAAAATTAACTCATTGGTTATTTTTTTCAACTCAAGAAACAAAATTACTTAAAAACTTTTACTTTTTTTTTCTGAGCATCACTTTGGAGTTGTACTTTTTGAGGGGTTGGAACTAGATGATCTTCAAGGTCTCCTTCCAACCCAAGCTATTCTATGATTCTGTGAAAGACAAGTTCTCAGTTTGGCAGTTTCCCAAGCCCTTCACTCTGGGGGGGCTCTCTAGGGCTTTCCTCAGGCATCCTGTGCTAAATGAGCTTCCAGGTTTCAGTGAAAAAATGTCACCACTACAATTTTAAGATGACAGCACTATGGCAAACCAGTTGTCATCTGCTTGAGTTACCAGCCCAAGAGGTAGATTTAGAGTATTATGAAAATATATGCATTTTGAAGTGCTGTGAATTATACCAAATAATCCTGAATATCTCTTTTGCTATATTAATGAATCAAAGCAGAGCTTTCCACATTATCTGCAATCACCATGGAGAAAATGGGTTTCAGTGTACATAGTTTCTGTATAAATAGTGCATCTCCAGCACATTCTGTAAGTAAGTAGTGTCTGATTGCATAATAATAACAATAATAAAGAGAGAGCTGTCCAGCGTGCACATGGGCCAATTAAAGGATCAAGTGCACGAGGCTGCAGCATTCCTGGCAGGGGAGCCAGGGTGCCTGGCTTACCAGTGCCCTCCCCTCCATGCCTGAGCCTCCCACCAGCCCTCTGGCCGCAAACCATGGAGCCTGGAGACCTTTTTGCCTGAGTCCTTGCATGGAAGCAGGTCATGGGGACAGCACAGCATCCAGAGTTTTAGAGGCTCCTGGCAGAAACCATGGGAAACGTGCCTGCAGCACGAAGGCACAGCTTGGTTTGGGTGAAGCTTCAGCACTTGAGCAATTCCCAGTGTGCCTCACAGCTTTGCTGGGCAGGATTTTGTCTGGCTGGAGGGACCAGACCCAAGCTCCCCTGCGTGCCATAGGTATACTTGAGAATTCACGGAAAGCTGGAGGAATGTACTTTATGGGGTGGCTGGATCATATGTTTATGGCCTGAAATAGGAGATCCCAACCCAAACCACTTTGTTGGTTTCTAATGGTGAGAAGCAGAATATGAACATCATATAAATTCATGCTGGGGAGTGGATATGAAAAGAGAATGTGGGCAAAACCTGGGACAACCCACGGCCTCGGTAGCTGCCTTGCCATTAATTATGGCTAATGGGCTAATAAACACCTTCACATTTAATGCACTGCACATCCAGCCTGTGGAAACTCCCTTACAGAGATGACCCAGAAGAATTAGACAAATTAAACCCCAGGATGGTGGAATTATGCATTGCTAACAACATTGGCATAAAAGTAGTAGAGGACCGAGCGCTCTGGATTCCTGCAGACAATCATTTACCACCCAAAAGGAACTTCTGACAGTTGATAAGATTCATAAAATACTTTTTGTACCCTCTGCACAGGAGAAGTGGGTGGTCACAACTATTCTGGTGTGGGTGGAAGGGCTCTTCCATGTGAGTGCTGGAGTGGGCCAGGTGGCTGGAAACACAACACCTGGGCTGTGATTTCCCGGGCACATGCCAGCCCAGACACACGCATACTAATGCACTGCTCCGGAGGCCCTTTCCAGAGGATAATTGCAAGCACTGCCCCGAGCGTAACGGGCCACTTCAGGGAATGAGTCTGCTCCTCAAGAAACAGCCACTTACTCCCCTCTCAGCTCTGCAGAAGGGCAAATGTCCCTGGTTCAGGCCTTGGAAATAATGAGGTAAAATGGACTTGGCACCGTTAAAACCTCCCCAAAGACAGGCCGGGATATTTGAATATCTGATTGGGAAAAACCTATGGGCAAACACAGCCTGCCTGGACAGGACCCCTCCTCCCACAGAGCCATGGAAAAGGCTCCCAGGTCATAGAAGGAGAGCTGGGAATTAAACATCAAGTAGCCTGCAGGGATGCTAGAAAAAAAACATGAGCCAAAATGCAGCTGAAGACACTGAAAAGGGGGTTCTGCAGGCAGTTTGCAGCACTGCAGTTGGAGACCACGGTTTTCCTTGTTCTCCCAACAAAACCAGGCCAACAGTAGGACAACCAGGCCCACCATGCTGGCTTTCCCAAACGGTGGAGCATCCGGGCGCTGCTGGGAAAACAGGCAGCTCTTTATTTTGGAATCCTAAATACAGAACCAGTGCCCAACTTCAGATAATCTGAATTTTATCGTCTCTACAAAGACCTTCCAAAACACAAATGATCACCATGAAACCAGGGGTTGCTTTTTATGTTTTAGCCTAACTTACTGAATCCAGACTCAAAAGTTTCTCAGTACCCTTGCCATTAATTAAAAATAAAAAAATATATCTTGTGACCCTTTTCTAAGGAAGAACAGAGCGGATGTAGCTCTGCTGCCCTGGACACACTTACATTTAACTTGGTTCACTCCCAAAGCCACGATCCAACCAGATACTCAAACACCTGTATAACTTAAATACACTTTTAAGTACTGCTCTGAACTTTGGTAAAAGTAGGGAAAATAAATTCTATTAAAACACCACTTTATTTCTTTCAAATCTGATTTTTTTGAGAATCTGGACTGCAATGCATCATGTAAAGTATTTCCTTCCTCTTGCAGAATATTTTAATATTAAGCCAGATATTTTTATATTTCCACAAATTAAATGCACCATGGCTGAAGGTTTGACAGAAGCTCTAATTTGCACATAAAAAGGTAGAATGATTTCAGTTTTGACAGCACAAGCTTTTGATTTGTTAATAAAGGCAATTCTTTCTCAATTGTGAACATACTCCCCAAATAAGACAATGTAGTTTGTAGCAAATAAAAAAACCCAACATCTTCCTGGCATGGAGACTAAACTTTTGATCCAAAGTTATTACAGAAATTCAGATTTTATAAAAATAAAAGAATGAAACTTTTGCATTCAAGATTTAGTAGCAACAGAGCAGGAATCAGAGGAAGAGATGTTCCTGCCACAGTCTCTGTACCTGTTGTTAGTAACCAACCTTCAACATATTTGGATAAAGTTCATTGCGAGAAAGTACCTGTGAAAGTTGAAGTAGTTTTGGAGGCTGGGGGTGAGACAGCCATGTGGAAATAGTTTTGGTAAAAATTAACACAGATTTTCCTGCGATGTTCTAATCAAACTGCAATCTAAGAACACCAGGATTTCAGACTCTCGTGATGAAACTCAAGTTTATAAAGCAAGATACAACCAAGGCCAAAGCCAAGGCCAATTTACAAGAGGCCAAGCCTTCAGAGTGACCCTCGGAGCCCATGTCAGAGCTCTCCTTTTCCCCTTAGAAACCACAGAGGAGGAGAGAGCACAGAGCTCCAAAACACTCTGGGCAGAGCCAGCTTAAGCATGGAAAAAAAAATAAAATTTGGATTTCTGATCTCAGATCAAATTATTCTAAACTTTTCCCTGTGTGACAGCCAAAAGCTTCAGCATGGAAGCAAAGCTCAAAGTACCCAGGATCCATTTCAGGATATAAAAGGGACTCACCCACAGTCCTGCCAAGGCTTTTACGGTCTCGGCACATACTTTGCCCTGGCATCAAAAGTTGATTAAAGCTTCTCAACGAGGTGAGCAACGTGTCCAAACAGCCTGAGGCACAAACCAGCCTGTGGTGTTACTAAAAGCCCCCACTTTTGAGAGCTGACACTACCCCAGACTGCAACCCAGGGCTGCTGGGTACCACTTGTGTGGGCACAGGCAAAGCAATGAGCACACGCCGTGAACGTGCCTGAGGTGAGATCCAGCACCTCCCACGTGTTACTGGAAAACCCTTCCTGGACATCTGCAGCCATGGCACGGAGCTGGGGACTGTCACAGTCACTGGGGACAGTGGTTACTTACTGGTGATTGGCAGCAGCACATCCTGCTCTAATGCAAACTGAACCCATGACACAGCCTGCGAGCAGCCTTTCACTGACACCAGACACACTGCTCTACTGGCCCACAGTCCTTCCATTTAATGCAAAAACTCTTGATTTTTGTAAACTTCTAAGCTTTTGCTGGAGGAAGTAAAGCAGTTCATTATTGAAAGGCATTTTTGTTTTCCAAACAGTGTCCCCTCCTGCTTTTCTTTGCTTGCATCTCACCACAGTTGCCTCCTAATCCAGTGTTGGTGAAACAAGGCTGAAGGTATTTTGGTCATGTTTTCACACTTGTGATGTACAGTTGCCTTGTCTCCTTCCACTTTCCTTCTGACTACACTCTGCTTCACAAATGCAGCCATCTGGCACAACATCTCAGTTTTTTCTTTCGACACCTGAGTAATCAGAGCCCTTTTTTTCTCTCTTTTTTGTTTTTATTTTTAAATAAAGCAAGTGTTTCCAGTGCCAGTGCCCAGGGTTGTATTAGGCAAACCACACCCCATTAATGAAAAGCAGCAGAAGTGAGAGGTCACTGGTATTAATGCTAGTAAACATTTAAGGTGAGATGAGATGGAGGGAAAAAGCACCCAGCATTTTCAAAGAGACTATCACAAGTCATCTCCAGCACTTTGTTGCCTTCACATCGGTTTACAGCCTCAGGAATGGTTATTTTAAAACTTAACCTCCTTCAGGTTTGTGCAGTAGTGGCACCCTGGCACAAAACCTGTGGGGCACCAGGGATGGCACGTGTGGCACAAGCCAGAGCAAATCCAGCTTGGAGTGGTAGGAGGGCATTTAAAGAGCACTGAGCACTCATGAGGTATTTCCATGTATTGTCAGTGTGAAATATATTTATGAAAACATTGATGGTGAAGTTGTGGCCCCAAAAATATTACCACACACTGCTGTATGGCCAAAATTGCATTCCAAGAGATTTTTTTTCCCAGCCTTGTCTCAAAGGACATCTCTCAGACTTACTCTTTCTTGCTAACACTCACCTTTCCCATGCCAGAAATAAATTTGACAATGCTGACTTATCTCCATCTGGCTGCCATCCCCTCCACACATCTGATCCTACCCCTGAACTCTGTCCCTCTTGAAATAAAAGACGGGCACCACCCCACGGACCAACTGACCTGGAAAACCTGCACGGAGATACACAGGCAGTGGAGCAGCTGTGCCAAAGGACACTCACAAATCACACCCTCTGGGCACTGGGACAACTGGCAGAGAGACAGAACACAAGGGCTGCCTCTCCACCTCCCTCAGGCTCCCTCGCCCGACACCACTGCGGTCTGTGCTGAGGCACCTCTGCACCACCTAAACCTGCTGCTCCTCTCACAGGCCTCTCGCTGCAACCCTTCCAAGCAGGAGGAGTTGGGGCACTCAGGAGCCAGGAGAACCATCTCCCACCAGCTCAACAGAGCCTGAGCAGGGGCAGAGGAGCAGAAGAAGGATGGGGGATGAGGGGCAGAGTTCCTGTATGCACCCACCTGGCCAGTCCCTTGGAGCAGTGCAGCACAGTCGGGCAGGAGGCAACCACAGCAGCACCTGAAATACAGACACAAGGCCTCAGGCACGAGAGCTGGTGCCCATCATCCAAACTGTCCCAAAACACAGGCATCAGCAGTGTGATTTTTGCTGTCAATATCAGTGTGGAAAGTGCCATCAATAATGTGCCAGTACAGTTCAGTAATGACTCTACAGACTGAACCTGCACTGGAATCCCTGCTTTTTCTTCCCATTTGTTTTAAACAGAATTTTCCAACAAGTGCACTGGGCATCTGTGCCACATCAGCTCAGGGACTGTCTGGTGGGTTAAAAAGGATTTTTTGATGCTATGAGCTTCCTCCCTCTGTGAGTGGTCAGCAGGGGCCACAGCATCCTTTTTGGGTGGATTTACAACTCACGCAGGTGCCAAAGGGGAGGGAAGATGTTTGACATAAAAAGTTCAGTCTGGACCCCTTCAGAACCTGAATGCGAACTCAGAACCAGACTAGGACAATCTGGACTTGGGTTTGTGAGAAATACCTGGTTTTCAAGACACAGCCACCTGGAAGATTCCCTTCTTCTCTTCAACCTGAAAAGAGAGATGGAGCAGTTAATGGGGGAAGAGAAAGGCTGTGAGAATGACAAGCTCCGTGAAAAGTTTCTTTGCAAATAACAGTTTAACACTAAGAAGTTAGGTTAAAATGGTTTCAAAGCCTAAAATTAGTTACGTTTTAAACTAACAGCATATGCTTTTATTGTCTCTGATCTAAAATATAATCCCAGGAGGCTGTGAAAAGCATGCAAATTACGGAAAGCTAATTTGCTCCAACAGCGACACCTCCCATGTAGTTGGGAGGTCTATTAGACCTAGTGTACTCTCCATTATTTGCATATTAATAGCACCTGCTGAAATACTTTGGGATTTACTTTTCCTGCCAGCAGAGGGACAAAACAAACAAAAAATTGATATAAAATTCCTTTCCTACAGATTTGATGAACAATAAACTATTTAGACCGTGTGAGGAATGCCAAATTAGTGAGAGGCAATGGGGTGGGACTGTGACACCATCTGGGATTTTCAGAGAAACTGGACTGCAAGTCTGCTTAAAAAAAAATAAAAAATATCCCAAACCAAAAAAACAAACAACAAAAAGGGCCTCTCTGGAAAGTGCTGGGTAATTTGAAATCGCTCACTTGGCTCAAGTCTGAAGAATGGAAAAGTTGAACTAAAGAAATCCAGACACTGCAGCAAGTAAAAAAAAAAAAAAAGACAAAAAAAATCCTACACATCCACAAGCCCCGAAAGCAGAACCCCCCAAAGTGGACCTTGATTAAAAATCTACAAACCCCCAGGCTTTGATATTAGCCAGGCCTGCAAGGCCTAGTCTCCTGCACATAAAACAAAAAATAAATTAAAACCAGCTACAGCCTGAGATTTACTTAACAAGCCAACTTCCAGTCTCTGCTCATGACCACTGCTTCCCCTTCTGGCCCCCGAGCTATAAAAAAAGCCCCTTGTATATTCCTATAGCTCATCTTCCTCAGGGTGAGGGTGAGAGCAGCTTCCTTTCCACAGTAGCACATGGAAAAAGCTCCCTTTGCAGCGCCAGGCTGAGCCAGAGCCGCAGGCTGGATGTGTAACGTGTGCCTCTCTGCAGAGCAGAGTCAGGAAGCTGACCAGGGAGACAGGGACATTCCCCAGCACCTCTTTTTCCAAACAGGCAATTGGTATTCCTAAAGAAGCGCCAGCCATGTGCTCATATTCCCTGCAAGAGTTACGAGGGGCCTGTATTTCTCCATATTCCCTCTGCTTTAATTCCCATTATGCACCCTCTTTTACATAGGCACGGAAGGGCCCACCAGAGTTAACTTACTGCTGGTGTGCCAAATTTCTGTAGCATTTTAACTACCTTCATACTCCCAAATGAAGGAAGCAATTGACTTTAAGTTAAAATGATTAAATTGTTCTGTACATATTCAAAAAGTAGTGAAAGGGAGTTTAATGCAGGACAACAAAGCACCAAAACGTGCAGCAGCAGAGCTGACTCCGTCCCTTGGCACTGTGTGACCCGTGTGAGGGAAGTGGGGAGAAGAAGGGATGTTACTGAACAATATATTATTATTGGCCTCTTCTCTCTCCAGTACAAACAGAGCCCAACATGTCTTTCAGCTCTGCACAGCCAAGTGAGACCTATGAAAAACGTGCTCAGTGTCAATGGTAATTACCGGAGGAGGCAATCAAACATTACAGCAACGGGGACCCCTGAAATGCTGCACGCAGACAACTCCCACCATGGCTGTCAACAAATGCTCATTCTCATTAATGTGTGTGTAACTCCGAAATGCTGCAGCACTGGTAGCTATTAGTATTAGCTGGTAGCTAATTAGTAGTAAGTAGTAGAACTAGTTAAAGTTGCAGGATGGCAAGTGGATGCAAACCGGAGGGACTTGGCTCTGAGCTTGTGATCACTGTTGGTGATAATTTTCAGCACATTTTTCCAGAGTCAAGAACCTCTAAATAGCTGGAAGGGAAAGGGGTGACCCGAACAGTTGCTGGGAGGCCTCAGTGGGTCAGGGCACTGAGAAGCAGAGCTCCCTCCTTGTGTTTAAGGTACCAGCTCGAAACTGTTAAGAACTGAGCGTTGCTGTCATTCAGATGCCCTGTAAAATGGGTTTGTACTCCATTTCTAGAAGAGGAGGGCAGGATTTGCCTCCTTTAACTTTCCTATGTACCTGCTGTGGGCTGGTCATGGATCCTGTGCTTCAAGGATGGCAGGAGCAGGCACGGAGCCTCAGAAGGGGAACCTGGGATACAGCAGGGCCTGGAGACATGGCTGTTACTGTTGCCATGTCCATGGCTAAAAACATCCTGTGCTGCCTCACAGCACTGCCACAGTCTCTCTGTAAAGTGTTCTTCCAGTCACAGAGAGCCCTGTCTTTGTAATGACAGCAATAAAAATAATAACAGTAATAATAATAAAAAAGCCACCCTAGAAAGCAAAACCCTATTATAATATTACCTATTATAACAAATTGGATGTTCCTTACCTGAAATTTCATGAGCAATTAGCAAACAGAATTATCCACAAACCTGTGTATGCCCTGTTATCCTTGCAGTGGTTTCAGCAGCCACATTCCCAGCCTGCAGTTTGCTATCCAGCAGCTTCCAAACCACAGCTTTTTCTTCTTTCTTTTTTTTTGCATCATGAAGTTCATGGCAGACAATGTTTTACCACCTGCACACTGGGGGAGAAAAAAAAGCAAGGGGGAGAGGATCAATATATACAGTATGTTTATATTCAGCAAGAGCATGTTGCAGAGTGGGGAGCTGTGATGTGTGTGTTGGCATTGTGTGGGAAAGGATCCTTAGTGGCACTGCAGCTGGAAAAATTAGTGGAAGATCAGGGAACTGTCCTCAGTGACAAACTTTCATCTGGCAAGTTACAATTCTGTCGTAGGAAATGATACCTTAGACTGCAGCTAATTTGTGAATCCCAGAAAAGGCAGATCACTGATTCTTCATCAGGACTGCAGAACCTGATCTATAAAAATTTGGGCCTCAGCAGGAGGTTGTGTCTAAGTGTGATTTGCATTTCAATTCTTAGTGCACCACAACCTTCCTGCAGCACTATCACAATGGAAGTTTTTGGTCTCAGTGTGCTCAAAATACATATCAAAAACCAAAAAATCCTGGTACAATGGCAGCCAGTTGTTAATGGGAAGGGAAGTGGCATTTATGTTTGAATTGTTTCACGAAACACCATTACATCAGAGTCTTTCATCATTTTGTGGGGGATCGAGTCCCCTGACACCATCTTCAGGGACCTCACGTGGTGCTCGTCACTATCATTCCACTTGCACAAACACCCCAGCCCTTTCAATTTTTATCTGCCCAGAACCCAGAATATGTTACAGTATTTAGTTTTTGTTCTATGTGAAGAATTCACAACAAATAAAAGCCATTTCCCTGAAAAAACAAGGTTGTGAGTGACGGTTAAGGGAATTTCAGGCAGACCCCCTTTGCAGGAGGGGCAGCAGCTCTGCCATCCCTCCCGCTGACTGATGGCACAGCTCCAACTCATCCTACATGGAGCAACCACCAGCACTGGCAATGATGCTCACTTGTTTCCCTAAAAACTGTCTGGGTCAAGCTCTGAACCCTGTGTATGTGCTGGAGATGAATTATTCATAGGAACAGGAGGGTTTCCCTTCACTGCCGCTGAATCAGGGAGAGGGGTTTGCAGAGAGAGGTAAAAAAATCCACTCCTGACTCCTTTAGCCAAGGAAATGTTCCACGTCAAACCCTCACAGCCTCTTAACCCAGTGTCAACAGAGACAGGTCTTCATGCCCTTCCTGTGTGCTTGGGAAGCCAACTGAGCCAAGCTCTCTGAGAGGAATTCAGTGTGCAGAGCTGTCCACGGGCCAAGGAAGAGGGTTATTAATGTTCTGGCACAGCCCTGCTCCCTCTCCTCGCTGCTCATGGAGCCAGCTTTTGTCCTGAAGAGCTACACATGACCACAAATTCAAATTTACATTTATTTTTGCCATTTGATCCCTGTTTTCCTATGTGTAGAATATTACTGCCACTTACTCAGATATGGTTAAACTCAACGACCCTTTCCAGGGACACATTCTCTAGCTGATTAAATTTCCAGACTCCAAACCTCAAAGCCCAAGTAAAGGGTGCAGGAGTGTGTCTGCCACATCAACATCCCAAGTGTGTTTCCAAGTTTCTTTCTGCTTTTGCTGTTGACAGGAGTTTTTAGTGACTTGAGCAGGTAGAGGCTGAATGCAGGGCATTTTTTTCTACCCGTTTCAATCCCCCTCTCATTAGAGTGTTGCCATGTTGGGGCCCAGTGATTTGTTTCCCTGCACAGTGCTGCAAGCTGGCATTTGCAAGATTGCAGCACTTTGACTGTGAACTTTCATACCAGCTGCTCCCCTGTGACAAATGGAAATCAAAGCTCCACACTGAAGGTTGTGGCTCTTCTTGGAACACACTGAGTGAAGTGAGTTGTTCCATAAAGGAAAGGCCAAGCTTTGGGGAACTCCCTCCTGTATCCCAGTGCCTCTATTCAGAGACATTTATGGGGAGTGATTCTGCAATAAGACACTGACCCTCTGGGATTTCTGGCCTGGGACAATCACTTACTTTTCAAAATGTTTGCTTTCACTCCACTGAGTGTCTGAGAGCCCAACAGGAATATTTCAGGCTGAAAAAGAAGTCTGGTCCTGAACTTCGTGCTAAAAATAAATAAACAGAAAAACCTTCACACAAATGCAGGATAAATAATTTTTTCTTTTCTTTAAGGACACTTGTTAAGAGCACAGAAAGGAGTCAGAAGTACAGCTTTTACTGACTGCTCTGCAGCTCAACATCTCTGGCATTCAAAACATACAACTTCTGTGTTTGTACTACATTTCCCTAACAGCTTACATCGAGGCCAAACACACAGCGTTCTGCAAAGGTCCTCTAAAATAAGCTTATTTAAAAGAGCAAGGTCAATGCCCAACACATGTCAGATTCTGTGAGCAGAAATCAAAGAGTTCGGAGCAAATGGAATATGTCAGAACTCGGTGGATTTCCATGCCAGGTTCTTTTACCAAGTTCACTTTGCTGCTGCCAAAACCAGTAACAATCTCATCATATGGACTTCAGCTTTGGAAAAGTGTCTGAAAAAACCCCCAGTCTCTGTACATGGGCCACTTAGCTCAATAAATAAAACTAAGGCATAAATGTGTTTATCTGGACATGCTATTTATTGTCCCTGTAACTGTATTTTTCCTTTAATGGGACACACGCTGATTCCATGCTTCAGCCCTAGGCTCTATTAAAATCAAATTAAAAGCATTAGTAATGTAGTTAATTCCATTTGTAATATGGCCATCAAGAGAAAAGAGAATATTAAAATAGGAAAAAATATAAATGGGATTTAATTTTTTTTTTAAAAACATAGTTCCATTTTGATCTCTGCATTTTTTTAATAAAAAAGGGAAAACTTTTTCCTCTGTTCAGATAAAGTAACTCTGCCCTGGTCTTTTAAACCATATCTTGCAGACTGATATTTGTGATTTCAATTAAAATATGCTATTGTCACTTTAGCCTCCCTCTTTGGTATTTTAAATTGATCCTAATGGCTTTGCCTTAAGTGATTTGCGTCCCATAGTGAATCCCTGTCACTTACAGCACCTCCCACTACTGCCCTCCCGAATAATCACTCCCAGATAATCGCTCCTTCCCCCTTCTCCCAGCGTTATTCCCGCTTCCCCCCGACTCCACATGCTGGTACTGGCTGCGAAGTATTTGCTCTTTACCATCTTTAACATATGGCTTGTTGCTCTGGCACACAACAGTCAAGGATTTAAAAGAAGGATAAAAGCTGCATGAAAAAGCCAAACTGGTGGCTCTGGAGTTAGGCTTGTGTGTCTCTGTCCTGTTTTCCAGAGGGTGAGGAGGAAGGGAATTGGGTTGGGATTACCACGCCTCCAGCACTGTACTCACAGTGTAGATCCTGGCAGGTGCTCACACGGCCCAGGTCCACTTGCTGCTTCCTAACAGAGCTCTGTGAGATGGACACCATCAGAGGAGAACCTGTTTAGGAAAGGAAAATTCCCATTGGGGACTTCCCACCATCAGCAGAGCCCCTCAGGTTTTGGCTGGGAGCTGCCCCTGCCCTGTCCCTCCACATCCCAACCCTTGCACACCCTGGTGTGCACAGGGAACCGTGAGCCTTCTCCTCCTCAGAGGAGGGTCCTGTCTCCTTTGCCTTTCATGGATCTCATTATTAATTGAAGAATCATTTAGTTTGCATAATTGTCCTCTGCCATACATAATTCCAACCTTTCCCTTTAAATTGGCTTATTCAACTAAATACAGTCTTCTGTTTTTGTGGCTCCAGCTATCAAAGCTTTTAGATGGACAGTCAGGGTGATGGGGAGAAAAAACCAAACTAATAATATTAGGAAGCATCTTTTTATGTACATTTATGAGATCTACCAGCAGGTGACTCCATTCTAAAATATCTGTTTTTTCATAGAATAAAATGCTTTCTTTCCTACACCCTGATCATCATCATAATGCCCCACTCTGAAAAAAAACAGTGTTAAATAAATAACACTTTCACTTAAGCTATGAACTATTTCTTTCTGAATAACACATGAAATTGAATTAGAGAGATTCGGTGATTTCCAGAGCAGCCTGATCTGTTCCTGTCTAATCAGACCTGATTAATTCAAATCAAACTGCAAACCTCAGTTTTATTTTGCTTTAAAAACTTGAGATCAACAACAAGTCAGCAGTATGTAGATATCACAGAAGCAGTTAACACAGAAAGCCTACAGACACCGACTCTCATAGAGTCAAATGGATGTGATTAAACATTTGGCATCATTTATTAATATTTTATATATTCAAATATATACAGAGCAGATAGGACCAGTCAGAGGGATGTTCTTCACCGGGGACAATTATATTTATGCCTAAGAACAGGAGATCCAGCTTAGGTGTCAAAGGGTGTTTCTTCAAAACAGAAAAGTTATTAACAAATCATAGGGTTATGTGGGAGGGTTTGTAACACAGAACTGCACTAAACCATGCAATGATCTACACACACAGTCAAAGTGTTCGTGTGGTACTGAGCACAGCAGAATAAATTAAGTAAGATAAAACAAAACAAAACAACCTCACAAATGCAAGACTGCAAATGCAAAACAGGCAGCCGTTCAAGAGGTATTTCAGAGACGTACTGAGCCATTATTCCTGTGGAACGTGGGCTCAGAGAGGCTCCCAGACCTGACAGTCTAATCCACATCAGCGGGCAGACGCGGGGTCGGGAGGCTGACTGTGGACTTGGGCGCTTGGCACAGCTGTTTTCCTTAGGTGCAATCCGCTTGTCACTAGTGGTGGCACTCTGCCTTTGCTGTATGGCAGCATATGTGCTTGCCACGTTTGGGACCCGTTATAGCTCCTTCCCCTGCAGCCACTTCCCTTCCCTTCTCGTTAGCTGCATGTCCATATATTCTTCCCTGCTCTCCCGCCGCTCGCAGTGCCAGCTCTTTGCCCCCTCTGCTTGCTCTGCTGACTGCACACACTGCCTGTGCCAGGGACAAGCTTCCCATATTCCAGCCATCTGGAGATGGGGCAGAATTTTGATATACGTTGCCAAATTTGCATATACATATGCACATGTGTGTGTGTGTGTGTGTGTATCTCTACATGTACATACAGACATGCTCTATAAGAAATCATATCTATTCCATCTCTGAAACACTCACCTGTTCAGAAATAGTTTTGCTACCAGGGAGAGCACACAGAGACAGAGAAAAGTTGAAGAACAGCCAAGGAAATCTTTCAAACGTGGTGAAAACCCAAACTAAAAGCAAAGGTGGAAAAAAGGGAGGGGATGGGCTATACGTTCACGTTTCAGCCTCTGCAATTAAAAGCCTAGTTACTGCACTAGCACAGACCCATTAGTAAATGCTGATATATTGGCTTGCAGATGAAGCAGTACCTGACTGCCTGCCCAAAGAGGCACTTAAATGTTTCCGCTTGCTTTGTACACACAGGACTGACTGCAGGACTCATTTTTGCTCAGTGTTGGGTCACCGCATACGACAACAACAGTTAAGAAGAAATTTGGTTGATGTCTCATTTTGAGGGACTCTACTACTGCCAGCCTCCTGACTCCAGGTACACACAGTTTCCTACCAGCATGCTGGGACACAGGTACAGGGGAAAACATCTCCAGTGTGGAGAGATGAGCTTGCCCAGGCAAGTTCCCACTAAGCAGTGGGAATCCCATGGAGAGTCTTCCTTGGGCTCCCTGCAGGTGTGGGTGTGCAGCCAGTAAAGGAACATTGAGCTTCAGGATAAAGGAGCTTTTCACTCTTTTAAAGAATATTAAAAATGCAGCAGGCTCTGATTCCCATTTATACAGCTATAAAGATGTCCTTGATTACTGAAATTCAGATAAGGTCAGATTTCCTTCTGATTCCCCTCCAAATCAGAGCATCCCAGGGTTTGGGAGCTTCACAGCTGAAGCCAGTCCAGTGGAGATGCCTCTGGGAAATGCAGACCCACATTCAGCTTTTCATTTCCACATACTTGAGCAAGTTAAAATCAAAATTTCCACTCATAATAAACCTCCAACCTCCAAACTCTAATTAAACAGGTTTTAAAAAACGACAACAAAACAGCAAACAACTACTCAGCTTTGATCTGCTTCTTTTTTCATTAAATTTATCTTTAAGTATTTTCTAAACCTCTCATCCCAAGGAAGCAATCACAAAAACCCATTAGGGTTATTTTTATACAATGGCAAGAACACTGAATTACCTTCCTGATGTAGTTCCTGTCTAGGTAAGCGACACTGCCAAACCTGGATCTGCATGTCCTATACACCTGCTGGTTTTAAATGCTACTCCAAGGCAGCAGTTGGGAAAGCAATGTTCCAGCTGTGGCCTGGGTGGGCTCATCTCAGGGAATGCCATTCCTCCTGGCAGCTGCTCTCAGCAGCTCTATCCCTCACCTCATGATTGCCTTGTTCAGCAACAGGTCAGCCCAGCACAATCCCTCACCTACTTCCAGGATCCCTAAGTACCAGTGACAGAGGATGAACCATCTCTGGCTTTCCCTGCAGCCCCACCACATTAACGAACAGCATTGCACAAAAAATTGCTGCCGACAACTAAATCCTTTCATAAATCATGCTGCTTTTGGACATGTCCCTCCGTTCTCCCACCCTCTTACACATAAACAGGGAGAAGGTTTAGGAAAACCAAAAAAAACAGGGTAATTTTGGTCTTTTCTTTGAGGCAACTATTCGTGAATCAGCTCAAGAAATCAGTCTGCTCACTTTGGGATGCACTTTTGAGGCAGGTGACTGAACAGAAAGAGAGAGAGAGACCATCCATAGATAAACCAGAGACAGGTTTTCCATTGGTACCTGTTGCTGCAGGAAAACTCACAGCTGGGTCAGCAGAGGTGAAAGGATGGAAAATGCCTGTCCATTTAACATAAATAGTTACACCATGCACATACATTTCGTGCCATCTCGCTGCCCTCAGAACCCTCAGGAATGTTAAGTAGGTAGGGGGCCCCTCTGAGCAGGGAGATGTCCACAGCTCAGGGCAACACTCCCAAAGAACAGCCTGTGGGGCTAAGAAGGTTTTGCAAGCAACAAACGTGATGGACTTTTTATTCACGGCCACCCCTGACAGAGCAGCTGATCCTCAGCACGGCAGCGGGGACAAGGTACCCGGAGGTTGTGCAGGTCCCACCCAAGGGGGAATTAGGTGAGGATGCTGAGCTTTGCTGTGCTTTGCTCCACCTTCTGAACAGAAAGGTTCTGCTTCTTGGGTGAATTTTTGTTCAGCAGCCCCCAGCCACACCATGGGAGCAAAAACTTTGAATCCTCCTGGCTGAGGAGCCTGGCAGTAAAGCTCCAACCTGTGACCCGGGTCGAGGTTTTATCAGCCGTCAAGGAACAGCTCTTGTAGTACATGAATGGCCAACTCAACTGCTTGGAGAAAGGAGCTGATTCAGGCTGCCAGTATTGGCTCTTACACAGATAATAAACTAGACTGGCCTTTCTCCTGACATCACACTTCAATCAAAAACTTTCTCGCAAAATGTCACTTTCAAAGTTGCAGCTTTAAAAAAAAAAAAAAAAGAAAAAAAAACTCTTTATAAAAAATTCATGGCCACAATGATCTGATAATGCAGCTTTCTGATACCAGCAGATGTTTTGTCTAACATGTTCCCTGAAGCTGTACTCTGTGCCTTCATATCTTTCATTTCCAGTTGCTATCTGCTGACTGTGGGATGTCATGTACGTACCCTATAGCGATGCACAGCAATTCGCATCTCACACCGCCGTGCGTAATGAGCTTCACAAGATGCTTGTCGCAATAACTCCGCACTTCCCCAACCATATGGAACACAACACTCCAAAGCCCACAGACACTTTTTTTTATTACAGTTCAGATCCTTAAAACATAATCTGTGTGATGTCTAGTGAATGTACGTGAAGAGCTGCTGAAAACAAAGTTAACACTTGTTCACATCATCTGTTACAAATGTCCAATTTGGGACAATAAATTTCCTCGGAACCTGTTCTTTTGCTGACTCGTTGCTTTATCTTTTTTCTCTTTCTCTCACGTCGGTTTTTTTATGAACTATGCATATGTATTAAATGGGATTTGTTGTCCCTAGATACCAATTTGCATAAAGTGCAAGCCATCATTGGTTGGAGAGAAGCAAATTACTTCTCCAGCAAGATCACACTTTTTTTTTTTTTTCTTTTTCCTTTTTTTTTTTTTTAATTTTAACAAACCGCAGGCAGAGGCTGTTAACAGCACTTAGCCAGATATGCAAAGTATCACTTTTCTCAAAAGCAGCTTGATCAATGAGCAAAAAAAAAAAAGAAGAAAGGGAAGGTATTATTCAGTTAAGTACAATGCAGAAATGTCCCAAGACTGAAGCTGTTCACCTGTAACTTGAGCTACCGGATTCCCAGTTAAATACAATCCCAGTATGGCTTAGCACTTGGGACACAAAGCAAAACAGCCTGACTGAGCAAAGCCTCTCAGGATCACCATTCCCATTGTCCCCAGTGTGTTCCTGTAAGTCCCAAGTGATTATTCCATGTGTTGCTCAGCTCCCTCACTCATTCCTTGCTTGCTCATTCCTGTCCCCACACATTTATTCACCTTGGGCACTCCTGAAGGGCCTGAAATGCCTGTACAAGTGCAGGGAGGCTCTCTGATGCCCTCCCCTAATTTTCCTGGCTCCCTGGCACAGGGATGCTCCATAGGATGGCAGCTGCCATCCTAGCAGGCTTTGGACAAGTACAATCTCGTTTTCCTTGTGCTCCTCATTGTGCACACCTGGGACATGCTGGCAAGAGCCTCGGCTGGAAGACTGTGACAGATTCCCAGGTTCAGAGCAGCCCTGCACGAGCCCTCTGCTTCTGGGGAGGAGGAGAGACAGAGCAGGGGATTTTACAAATTCCTCAAGAATCAGATTATCTGAGCAGAGCTGTGATGCACAGGCTGATGTACAAGTGCACCAGCCCACCACTAAAAGGATTTGCAAGCCATGAGCCAGGCTCAGTTAAGAAGTGTGAGATAGCAAAATCACTGAAGGGAACAAATCAGCAAGGATGCTGAGCTGCAAAGTTTCCAACCAGGTCTGAAATTCTCAAGAATTTAGTGCTGGGACGTTGCTGGGGGTGCTGGGGAGAAGGAGTCCTCTTTGAAGGTAATCTTGTCTTCTGCTGAGCTCTCTAAAACTGACTGCAGGATCTGCCTCTCCCTAAACATTCCCTCAGAATTCAATCTCAAATCCAGCAATATGATGTGTTTGGATTATTTTACTTCTGAATTTAATGGACAGATGATGCTTTCTTAAGAATGGTTTCTGGGATCACACATAACATTAGTAACTGATTGCAGACACAGGACAGTTAATCTGGGCAGAGGTGAGGACTTGATGCTGAGGTGTCTTTCAGGGAGCTGCGGGTGCCAAAAGAACAAGGAAGGGCCCAGAGTGAGTCAGTTCTCAAGAGACAGTCTGTATTTTCCTGCATCTGTCCAAAGACACAGAAATACCCACAGATTTTACGCCGTGTGATGATTCGAAGGTGGAAAAAATAGTTTCCGTCTGCAGAAATATTGGCAACTTCCTGCGGCTTTTGCAAAAAAGGCAAAAATGCCCCAATTTCACACATCTCTCCTATTAATGTTTGCTGCTTTGTTTCCCTATTTGTATTTGTCACATTTAAAAGGAGTAAAATAGAATTTAAAAGAAGATCCTGACTCCCAGATGAGCACGGAAGCACAAAGAAGTCGTGCAAAGATTATGAGAAAAACTCACATGAGGGAATTAAGTGGAGGCTTTGAAAATGGGGCTTTTTTTTGTAACCAAGGGCACTGTCACTGTTAACCAACAGAACTGCTGTGGGACTGGGTGAGTCCTGTTTGGGACACCCTCCCTCAGACAGGGAGAAGCGCATGGAGCTCGTCTCCCTAAATCTGCAGCTTTGAAAGGTGGGAAGGATCAACAACGTTCTCTCTGAGGCTTCTCTCGCTTGAAATGCCTGGCACGCTCACCTGGCCGTGCAGAGAGGCCGTGCCTGGGTGCCTTGGTACAGGTGCATCTGCAGCCCCATCCCTCTGGAGACAGACAGACCCAAAGAAATCCACTGCTGAGCTCATCCCAACGCTGCGGATGAGACCCAGCTGTACAGTAGGCGCCAGATAACATGCAATCATGGTCTCCCACTGCAGCAAATTCTACATAAACCCAGGCCTTTGAAAGAGCAGGAATAAAAAAAAAAACAAATGTGTTTTTCTCATTCCTTATCTGTACCTACTCCATTTTACCTGAGGCTCACTATTAGCTCAGCTGGTGATGTCACTTACTTCACTGGAACCTGTTATCAGGAAAGATTTCTCCCAGGATTTTCTGTTTTGCCGGCGTTGCTCTTTGTGCAACATTGTATTTCATTCCATTAGATAAAGGGTTAAGTAATTCACGTTTTACCCATATAGACTAAGTTATACTCCCTGTGGGTTGCTGGCTTCCTATTGGCTGGAACAATGACCTTGGAAACAGACAAAAATGATGCATTGTTGCAATAAATATTATAGCTTGCACCTGTTTCTAATTAAGTCTGCCAAACAATTTCAGAGATACTGAAAAGAGAAATGTGTTGGCTTCTAATCGGGTGTTCTTTGCTGTTTGATCTGGATTTTTCAGCCCCCCACATGACCTCGCCTCCTTGGTTCTTGTTTTTCTTTTTCTTTTCAGACTTGCAGAAAGCAGTAGATTGAAAGGCGGCTTCTGAAAGAGGGGCATCTCTGCCTAAAATCAATTGTAACTAAAAACCTGAAAATTGATGGATTTACACCAAGGCTGAAAGTAGTTTATGGCAGGAGACCTCAGAAATCTCCAGTATGGATTACTGCTTTTATAGGTCTGTTCTGGTCTTCTCCTTTTCCTTCACCTCCTCCTTCTCCTCGCTTTTAAACTCGGGAGCTCAAAACAATCTCTAGCTATTTTCAGTCAGGATCAGGCTGACTGGGAAGCAGGAGGTTTTTGCAACTGGACTTCAACATGTTGGAGAAATAACTGAGGAAAAGTTTTCCTGCTACCACTCACCAAAGAAAAGGGAGCAGTGGTCACCTTCCTCTTCCAGAGTTAACAGTACCCTGGGAAGACTCTGGCAGTCGTTGCTGTCAGAGCAGGGGCTTTAGGACAGGTACAGATTCAGGAAGAGAGCACTGAGGCTTCACAGGTCGTGGTTTGCAGTTCAGCATCACACTTTCCACTCACTGTATCAATTCTGAAGTTCATCTCCCACTGAAAGTGTTCCTTGGTGCCTCATTCCTTGCACACCGACCTCCCCAGGCAGTGCAGCCTGCATGGATTTAATGCCTGCTCTATGATCCACCTCCACGGACAAATGCAAACATATGTGGCAAATGCTGACAGTTTTCCCCACCATAAGAAGTCAAGAAATAAGGAATTACTGTTATCTCCACTTCCTAAATGGGGACTGGAAGCCACAGCTCAGCCAACACTTCTGGCTGTCAATGACAGAAGCAGCCCAGTCCCTTCGGTCCCGGTGGGGTCCCTTTTCTCACGCTGGGATAAGCATTTGTGCATCTGTATTTTGGAACTGATTGAGGAACTTATCCATCTGAAAACTAATCCAGGGAGGGAAAAAAAAAAACGAGTTTTTATTTCAGCCACATCAACTTCCTGATTTTGGTTTGAATGCAGCCCAGCAGGACGGGACTGAGCAGCTACGACAGTGGGAGTGGAATGCAAGGATTTTGGATGGAATTACATGAAATCACAGAAGAAATATGACATCAAGAAGACAATGTAGGTCTCCAGAATGCACAGATGCCTTTCTCTGTTGTAAATGCCATCCCCTCACAACCTAGCAGAGGTTTGCTGGCTGTCTACCACTGCTCTGAGCCACCCAAGGTTTATCCTGTGTAGACAACGTATCTCAGGAGTGTCGTGTTTGGTGGAATTAAATGACCCTCTGCCCAGTCAAAAGTTAATTATTTGGGGGTGGAGGTTGCAGGGGGATTATTTCAGCAGCCACACTAATGAAGGTGGGATCAGACAGGTTAAAAATAAGCGTAGACACAAGGAAGATATGGGAAGGGAAAGGAACAGCTTAACCTGTGCAGTGGGACGATGCCCTGCATCACTATTATGGCAAGAGTTTTGTTCAGGAGGAGAGACAGAACTACAGAGATATTTTGCAGGGTTAGCACGTCTTCCTCTGTCTGATACACTCCCTCTTTCCCACTTTTCCCTCGATGGCAGGTAATAAAACGCCTGCTGGTACCCCCCATGACTGGAGGTACCCGGAGTGGTTCAGCCCATCGTGAGTGCTGTGCCAATCATTTAACAATTCCCACAGCTGCCTTTGTGAGAAGCCTCTCTCTTAAGCCTCTGGTTTAAGAATTTAGAGTAATCATGTAAAAATGATACCCCTGTGCTCTATGATCCGCTGAATCTCACTAATGCCGGATCCCAGAAGAGGGCTTATTAATGAAAAGATGCAATGCCTCTCTCTCTGCTCATGTTTCACATGAATATCTCTCATGGATTCGGCAGTAAACCGTACTGCTGATAAAGTGGGTATAATGAACCTCCGTGCTCCACGAGAAGGAAATCTCGGACTGATGGAATAGTTACCTGCTCCACTTCCCAGCACAATGGCAGGCTCGGCAGGGACAAGGAGAAGCACTTGGCTGCCACGGGAATAGCGGTGCAGGCTCCCAAATCCTGGGCCTGCTTTGCAAGCGATGCCTTCGGCTGTGTGAAAAGATCAAGAGTTTGGAAGGGAGCGGTTCGTAATTAGCTGAGAGAAATGAAATTATGCTTTGTTGTAAATCACCGAGTCAACAGACGGAAGGAGGTTTTTAAAGGGACAGCAGCACCTTGAGGCTACTCTGTGTCCTTTCAACATCACACAGTAGTCAAAAACCCGGCTGGCTCTCGCCAGTTGGACAGATTTTCAGCAAGGACGAGCACCAAGTGTTCTGCAAACAGCAGGATCCTGCCACTTCCAGCCCCTGACATCTAATTTTCAAATACTTTCAAGTACTGCCTCTGTCCTCAAGCTCCCCTGCTAACGGCAGCAGGTTTTGTCATCAAGAATTTCAAATTGTTATAAATCCTTCTGCTGTAGCAAAAACAAACAAATGATGGAAAATCTCCACACTAACAAGAAAGGCAGCTTCCATGTCTATCGATGGGAAGAGAAAGCAAGTGACTACCCAGAAAGCACTGTGAGGCAAAGAAAAGGAACAGGTAAAGTGCTGTAGGCAGCAGTGCAGTCAGGCTCTATATTTCTCTGAGGCCCTCTGTGATTTATGATTTCCATTAAAAGAAACACATGCCTTACAAATTACCCCTAATCTCAGCATCAGTAGGATGGCACAGGGCAAGCAACAAGAGCCTGGAAGGTGTCACTCTGGAGTATCCCAAAACGACCACAGAGACCAGTTTTAAGTCCAGCAACCAGACTGTATCTGCTCGGTTTATGTCTGATACCTGGATCACCTTTACAGAGCCAGCCCCACGTGGCCAAGTCCAAACCTTTGTGAGGCTCCAATCTGAATATGGAAAATTATCACAGAGATGACAGCACTGCAGGGTGGCTGTAATCCCATCTCAAACACTGGTTGTTATCCTCTGCATGTCTGTTCACTGATTTACCAATCTGTGGAAAAGTTAGCACTGTCCCTCACTTCCAGGGGATTCTCTGGTTAGAGGGAATTCAAACACCCTGAAACTCTGTGAAACCTTAAACCGTCGTGTGAGCAGCTTGGGTATAACTCCCCGTGTTATTAATACCTAAATGCCCCATATGTTGTCTTTAGAGAGGAAGGCAGTCCCATCACCTTTATGTGTGTGCTTTCTTCCCTTGGCTTTTACATTTCTTCCACACGCAGAATGTACTTAACTCGCTGCTTATTGAATGAAGGATTAGTATTATTTTCCTTCCTCCGGTGAACTTTGTTTCACTTCATCCTGCATATATTTTGCTAGGCTGTGTTTTCCTGCCAGCACACCACTGTTCAGCAAACCACCGTACTTAAGGCCAGCCAGCTAACACAGTGATCCCTTTTTACTCACGAGGAGTGTTTCCATAATCATGGCTGTGCTCGTGGGATGAATGACAGCTTACACCGAGGAGCACGGAACGCACTTCCAGAAGCTCTGCCGAGCTGGGACGCGACTAAAGCAGCTTCAAACTGCCAAGACACTTGAAACATCCAGGGGAAGACAAGGTTTGAAATGGAGCCTGCTACTTAGCTCCTCTGCTGGCATGAATGTTGACCAGGGACTTCCCCGTCCTCCCTTTTCTGTGCTGCTCTATCTCATGCTGAGCCGGACTGGGAGCGCTTGGAAAAATGCCCAGCTTTGGGTCCCGTAAAAATTAGTATAAAACAAACAGGTAACAAATTTGCAGTGGCTCTGTAGGAGGTTTACAGTCTCTTTTCTTTTGTTGGGAAGATTGGTTATGTTGCCCAGTAGGAAAGCAAGTGGAAAAGAAGGGTTTCTTTACAACTCACTGTGCTCTTGGAAAAACGGATTGGGAGTTCCTGTTCGCATCAGTGCAGCAATGCAGACCTCTCTGGTGGAAGTATTTTCTTTTTCTGGTGGAATTATACCTCAAGTCCTGCTAGGTAGTTACTCTCTTTGTTCCTGTGAGCCAAGCTAGTTGCAAGATCATGCTATGCCATGCTTATAACCTCGCACTAAAGAGGAGATTACAAAGGGGGCAAAATACCCTAGAGGGTTCCCCTTTATCAGAACCTTCCCTGTCAGTTTGCCTTCTCATTTCCTGAGCTCTTGTCTGATTATTAGTGTACTGACAGAATAAAAATAACCTCATATTCCTACATGAATCATAAATAAAACCCTTTTATTTCATCAAAGAGGTTGGCAGGTTTATAGTCCTTTGCAATGCATGCACGATGTGAATGACATACCTTTAATTTTGCTGACAAGCTTGTCGGGGTCCTAATGAAAAAGAGTGAAAAGTGGGTGACTTCTCTAAAGGTTTAGCAGTTGCTTTTTGGTGAGGATATATATTTCACCTTGCCACTGTAATCAAGGAGCCAACTGATCTTGGTAATGAACTCTTCAATTACAGTCCACTCCTAACTCTTCAAGAATGCCAAGGCAACAATGCCACAGTGATTATTGCTGATATTACAGATTAAAGCAACCTGGGGGAAAAAAGGAGGGGGAAAATATAAAAGAAAACCTGAGCAGTGTCCTTGCTAGAGCTCCAGGTATCAGGGTGCATCAGCAATGATCCAAAGAGCGATCAAATTCCAGATTTTGGACAGCTAGATTTTATATCCCTGTTGTACAGCAGGCAGCAATAAAACCACCATTCCCACCTGGGTTTTGACAGCCTGTGTTCATCCCCATTTGTTCAACCCGACTCTGTTAGAAACCAGTATCCAGAATGGTAGAGGTTATCTTGGGACAGCCCCATGGAAAGGAAAAGAATAGTGCAGAGTATTTCTTTTGGTGTCTCTGACAAGCAAGCTTCCTGATAAAGGTCTCACAAAGGAACACAGAAAACAGGCACGGGACAAACAATCAGAAAATCTCTCCTATTTCCACTCTATGAGAGAGCAGAAAGGTTAACTGCTTGCACAGAGGGAGGTAAACAGTTAAAAATACATATTTTTAGCAGTATTGACAGTTCTTTCCCCTTCTCCAACACAACCTTTCTTATTTCCACTTTCATTTTACTGTCTAATTTGCTCATGTAAAAGTCATGAAGAACACTGACCCCTTAGTTTGCTTATTGACCACAAACAAATCATCAAAGCCACGAGCCTTTTCCCTTTCCTAAA